AATTTGCAAGCCAAAATCACTGGATGTGCTTGGCTTCAGAAGAACGGCAGATTCGAATAGATCACTCTTCTCCAAAATTGTTTGGTCCATGGCTTCTCTGAGTAACAAGATTAGGGGGTTAACCTAATTGCAGCAAAATATATGAGAAGGAAGTTTTATCTTCACTCTTATCTTTCCTTTTTGATTGTTCATGGCTCTGGTCTGATATTAAAAATATCAAGGATCTTATTACAAAAGTTGCTTGCTTCTCTATTTGTTCTAATTCAGATGTTTTAACTTGGAAAGACCCATGGATTCCCTTATTGGATGGTTTTACCCCCACCTCTCCTTCTCCAAACTCTAATTCCTACCTCATTGCTCTTGTCAAAAACCTTATTATTGAAGAGACTAACACATGGAATTTCAATCTTCCAACCACTTACTTCCCTGTAAATGTGGTAAATGAGATATTGAAAGTCCAAATCTCTCATCTGGCTTTGACCAATGCACTCTTTTGGTCTCCCTCCAAGTCAGGGAAGTTCACGTCCAAGAGTGCTTATCTCTCCGATCAAGCTCATCGTTTTAATTCATCCCCGTCAAATTACCCTCCACTTAACTGGAAGAATCTCTGGTCTTCAAAATTACACAATAAACACAAGCTTCTTTTTTGGAAAATTGCAAATGACCTTATCCCTACAAAAGCTAGATTGAGTCGTCTTTTCCCCTCAAATAACACTGGTTGTTTTTTTTTGCAGTTCTCAACTTGAAGATATTGATCATTTGTTCTTGTCTTGCCCTTTCATCCAACAAATCTGGTTAATCTCTAAATGGAACATTCGTATTGATCCTTTTAGAAATGAACCGATAAATGCCTGGATTGATCTTATTCTAGATAAAAAGAACAACTTTCTTCCTTCCCTTGCTGATATAGAGATATTATTTTCACTGTTGTCTTGTTTGATTAACTGTGGATGATGAATAGAAATAAAGTGGCTCGTGGTTCACCCTCTCTTTCTCCGTAGGAACTTCTTCGCATGGTATCTAAATGTGCAAATGAGCACTGGAATTGTCAAAGCCTCAAATCATTGTAAGCAGGGAAAGAATTGAATCAAGCCTAGACCAAGCGACCTCCTGGCTGGATTAAGGTCAATACCAACTCCACCTTCTGTAAAGGCAATGCTATGGCAAGCTGTATTTTCAGGAATTCCAACGGCTCTATTTTCTATGCATTCACTAAAACTCATGCATGCATGGACCCTTTGGTGGCTGAATGTTTAGCTATTTTGGATGCATGCAAGCTTATAAATTTTGCAAAGATCAGCAATGCTATCATTGAAACTGACTGCATTAATGCGGTTAAGCTTACTATGGATAAAGATCTCCCTCTTCAATGGACTGCATTTGTGCCAATTGACGAAATCAAACACTTTTGAAATATTTGGCCCACATGGATTTTTAAATTCACCCCTAGAATGGGGAATGAGGCAGCCCACAATTTGGGGAAATGGGCTTCTAGTTCTTGTTTTGAAGGGCATGTTGCCCTTAGTGTAATCCCTCTTTCTTGTTTTGTTGATAGGGGTCACCCTATTCTGGACTCATGTAATTTTAACTTTTATTAATATTGTTTCTTTTCTTATATAAAAAAAAAATCCACCACAAAAATATCATTTAATAAACAACGTCATCGCGGACAATAGTAGAGTCACCCGAGCGTCACTCAACCTCGTCCCACTTGTTGTGATTACTCCACTTGTGCAAGAACCTGAACCAAAGAAAAAGAAGACAACAACGTGTAAATTTAATTTATTCAAAACAAAATATGTCTACAAAGCAAGAATTTTAAATCTACTATAATCTCATCCAAACCCACTACAAAAATACCGAAATCCACTAAAATACTAATATAATCCACTACGAAATTCACCTAATCCATTACAAAACAATTACAAAAATATTAACGTAATCCACTACGAAATTAAACCAATTCACTATGACGAATCCCCTTTTCAAAGAGAAAATCCAGTTCAATTATATCGAGATTCAACAAAATAGTAACGTAATCTACAACGGAATTAACCCAATTCACTACAACAAATCACCTTTTCAAAGAGAAAATCCAATTCAAGATAAGAATTACAATCTAATTACAATCAAATTAAGAATTTATAATGCCCATTATAAGACCCTCAAAAATTAGAAAATCTTCCTCCAAGACTTAATTCAAAATATTCTATATTTTCCTAATCTATGTACATAAACTAGATAACTAATAAAACCAAAACAACAAGACAAAAATGAGGAAAAAATAAAAGGAATACAAAGTGACTAGAACTATTTGTTTCACAACCAACATCGTACCTTAAAAATTTTGAAGGGAATGTACTCGCTGGATCCAGAACTAGCAGCCAAAAACAATTTCCATCGTTCTTGGAGAGCGCCGACAGATTGAAGGTCGTCTTCGAGGTGGTGAAACAAACTCGTCAAAGGGAATGATGGTGGATCGTCTAATCGGATTACCATGAATGGCGAAAAATCCGACGAAATTTAAGTTTGAGATGAATCTTATCCGTGAGTTCTATGCTAATCTGGAGAGGGCTGTTGGTGACGAGTTATCTTGCCGTTTTGGGCAAATTTATGTTCGTGGCAAAGTGTACGAGTTCACCCCGAAGTTGTTGAATAAGATACTTGGCACGAATGAGAAGGGAGCTTCGAGATCAGGAGTATCCCACGAGGATTTGGCAAAAGAGATGACCGGAGGAAAGATGAAGCAGTGGCCTGTGGTTGGTCTGAAGCGTACACAACTCACGAAGGTTTACGCCATATTGCATGAGATAGGATGTGCAAACTGGTTTCCAACTTTGACTTCGAATCTTGTGTCTGTGGATCAAGCTGATTTCCTGTATGCTGTCGGTCACGGTGTTGAAATCAATGTCGGCGAATTTATTTTCCGGCGAATATTGGAAGAGGCGGAGCGTGTTTCTGATGTTTTAATATTTCCTATTTTAATATTTTCTTTGCTTTGTGAACAGAAATACGTTGTCAGCAAGGATGCAACTTGTAATAGGGTTCCTGCTTATCCAATTGTGATTCCGAGTCCGGAGACTGCATTCCGTGAAATGTTGTTGGGACAGCTGCATGTGAGGCGTGAAGAAGTCGCTGCTATGGAAGCCAAGATACAGGCCCTCTCTGCCCCTGGTGCAAGCTTATTTCCCGGATCAACTTCTGCCTCTCCATGATTGTCATTGAAAAACAAGTCTTTTGTTGCTGGTTTGTTTTTTAACAATTTATTAAATATTTTATATTTTGTTTTTATTTTGGATAAGTTGATTTTTTATGCATGATTGGGTCTGCTACCCCAATCTGCATATTAAATGTTATGTTTTGTTTTTTGAATTAACTATGATTTATTTTTGATTCACTTTGTGGAGGATTTCTGAATTTGAACAATAATCTTTTGATTGTTGTTCTTATAGTTTTTGCCTTATGTATGTGATAATTGCATTTGCAGGTACACATAAATGCTATGATTTATTTTGTTTTCATTTTGAGGAAGATCTTTGAATCTGGACAATTTTGTTTGGATACCTTCCTGGAATGACTTGTTCCTTCCTGAAAATTCGTGTTAACAAATTAATATGAAAATGTTAACAAATTTGTGTCTCAATATGAATAATAGATATCATTACAAACATGTGAATGGATCCCACATGCAGATCTTCCTCAAAATGAAAACAAAATAAATCATAGCATTTATGTGTACCTGCAAATGCAATTATCACATACATAAGGCAAAAACTATAAGAACAACAATCAAAAGATTATAGTTCAAATTCAGAAATCCTCCACAAAGTGAATCAAAAATAAATCATAGCTAATTCAAAAAACAAAACATAACATTTAATATGCAGATTGGGGTAGCAGACCCAATCATGCATCAAAAATCAACTTATCCAAAATAAAAACAAAATATAAAATATTGTTCCAAATTTAATAAATTGTTAAAAAACAAACCAGCAACAAAAGACTTTTTTTTCAATGACAATCATGGAGAAGCAGAAGTTGATCCGGGAAATAAGCTTGCACCAGGGGCAGAGAGGGCCTGTATCTTGGCTTCCATAGTAGCGACTTCTTCACGCCTCACATGCAGCTGTCCCAGCAACATTTCACGGAATGCAGTCTCCGGACTCGGAATCACAATTGGATAAGCAGGAACCCTATTACAAGTTGCATCCTTACTGACAAACGTATTTCTGTTCACAAAGCAAAGAAAATATTAAAATAGGAAATATTAAAACATCAGAAACACGCTCCGCCTCTTCCAATATTCGCCGGAAAATAAATTCGCCGACATTGATTTCAACACCGTGACCGACAACATACAGGAAATCAGCTTGATCCACAGACACAAAATTCGAAGTCAAAGTTGGAAACCAGTTTGCACATCCTATCTCATGCAATATGGCGTAAACCTTCGTGAGTTGTGTACGCTTCAGACCAACCACAAGCCACTGCTTCATCTTTCCTCCGGTCATCTCTTTTGCCAAATCCTCGTGGGATACTCCTGATCTCGAAGCTCCCTTCTCATTCGTGCCAAGTATCTTATTCAACAACTTCGGGGTGAACTCGTACACTTTGCCACGAACATAAATTTGCCCAAAACGGCAAGATAACTCGTCACCAACAGCCCTCTCCAGATTAGCATAGAACTCACGGATAAGATTCATCTCAAACTTAAATTTCGTCGAATCTTTTTGGGATCTTCGCTCGAACTTCGAGGACGCTTGAGGGGGCTTCCACCCTTTTGGGGGTCACCTATAGGAGCCTTGGGGGGCTGGAGCTTGATCCCGGTCGGTCCCGCGAATGGAGAGGTGTTTTTTGCTCCGTGTTTGACGGTCAAGCATTGCTCTTTCATGAACTTAAGCACGAGCTCACCTTCAACGAAAAAAACAAAATTCTATGATTTACATGCAATCTCGAATTTAGAATATGTCGGTGATGTACAAATGGAGAGTGTTCCAATCTATAGCACTCAAAAACTAATTGTTTTGTCACAAATAGAAGAACAAGTACTACATCGGAAAGAATTACCTGCTATGTTCCTTTTTTGGTCGTTTTTTCTCTCAGCACTACGAACTTGTTCAACTTTTGGATTCGATTTCGCACTAGCGGTGGAGGTATCCGCTACATCCTGGATAAAAATGCGGAATTCCAACATCAAGTTTGGAAAGGAAAAAAAAAACCGAAATTGCATACTCTCGAAATATACAAGCAAAAGTTGGACCTCAGTTGTGATGGTCTGCGACTGCTATTGATTACTTGGTCCGTTAATTCAGAAGCAAGAACCGGCCAATATCTGCTTAACGCTTGGCGTACCTGAGCAAAATAACATATATATTTAAGATAATTAAAAAAAATAATATTATTATCACTTAATAAACAATCGAGAAACGTAAGCACCTATTGTTCGTATCACAAGTGCTGTGGATTTAAGTGTAAGATCCACCGAGGACCTCGTAAGAGGCTTGTCTTGTAGTAATACTTCGACACAAGCTTCGGCTGAATTTGCTAACGAAACGGGATCATATCCTCCTTCGAGTGCCAAAACAATATTCTTACCACTCGAAATATCCATCAACTAAATAATAAAACATCAACAACAGCCAATAAGTAAACTATATTTAAATAATGTCGAGTCAAATATAGTTTAAAAGGAGATAATAAAGAAATGATAAAAAAAAAACACGAGATATTTAACTTTTATGATAATGGTGAAGCTCAAACCTTGCGGAGCATAACCGAATATGCGTACGGACTAAGACAACAGCCTCCAACATGATCGCCTAAGGCTGTTCAAATCAACGACGTAAATAGTATTAATCTGAATCGATAACGAATAAAGACGATCAAGCATCTACGTATGCATGCATGAGTAATGGAAAGGCGTAAAATTTATTTTTGTTTAATACTAAATACATACGGAAGTGTACGATGACACAAAATGTGCATTAAAATTGATCAACGGCAATTTATTAGGAAATTACCAGCTAACCTGCGTCAAATCCTGCTGCGACCATTATCAAGTCAGGATCGAATTTCTTAGCAACGGGAATTAATATATGGTCCCAAACGGCAAAATAGTCTGCATCTCCACACGAATCATTCTCCCAAGGTACATTAATATTGTACCCTGCACCCGGCCCTTCTCCGATCATGTTGTATGCCCCGTCATTACCATATGGATAGAATTCCCCAGAATCATGCCTGGTCGAGACACATATTTTAATTTTCATAGTTCATTGAGCCCGTTAAAGAAATATGTAAGATGTAATTTGCAAGTGACAATTTTCATGAAACCGCTAATTATTTCTATAAAAACAAGATAAAATGTAAGGATAAGATAAAGATAAGCGGCAATACTAAAATAACATAAATGCAAAAAGTCGCACGTAATTAAATAAGGAAGCACAAACGCACTCACAAAAGACAATACTTAGGATACATGAAACAAATTCTTTCAACAATATTTTCAAGTTTTAGATTTTAACGTAAATATTCATTTTAATATTCGATACCTATGTACGGAGAAGGTAAGTACTCGGGGATCTTCGTAGAACATCTTCTGAGTACCATTTCCATGATGTACATCCCAATCCACAATCAATATTTTGCCGACACCCAACTTTGGCTACAAATGTACAGCAGAGCGAAACGTTAATTTAAACATGCAGGTAAAAACAAAAGTATTAGAAATAATCACATTTATTTTCAAGAAAAAATAACTAGCTCTCACTCGTCTGTTCAAAAGAAAACTAGCTGCAATAGCAATATTGTTGTATAGGCAAAAACCCATCGGTTCATCTTCTTCTGCGTGATGACCTGGAGGCCTCACAATAGCAAATGCAGAATCGAGTTCTCCTTTCGCAACTTTCTCTGCAGCCTACGAAAGCAGATTTGCAGACTTAAAAGCTTATGATAAACTCAAGAATAATTAGTAGCCAAAACAAAAGAAACTGCATCATCTTTAAGAATAACTGAATTAATTTGCAGAGTTAAGCTTTTTCTTTTTTTTTTTTTTCCTTATATGTTAATATGAGTTAGTTTAAACAGAACAAAAATTAATTATCTAGTGTATATATGCACATACTAGTACAAACCTGTATGACAGAGCCTGCGGCAAGAGACGAAGCTTCTGACGAGCCTTCATTGAAAAATATAGAGTCCAATTTTTCAGCTGTTCTTTTCATTGTTGAATTATTTCTCGAACTAATGTTCTTAATCAATTCAATGTGCTTTTCGGAGTGGACTAAAGCTAAATGATTATCCTTTGCTTCCTTACCATTTGAAACTATACATCTGAAAAATCGAAATCATTCATACAAATTCAGAATCATTTCTGACTAAAGCAAATGGTAACATTTTCCCATCTTTTTCCACAAAACTAAAAAAATAGAAAAACATTTTTATTAGAGTAAAAAAAAATCAATAAAAGATTTTTGAGTAAAAAACCACATGTTTTTAATCTTCACCATGTTCTAATAAATCCTCAATTTCAAACCTGAAAGTAAAAATCACACAAAAATAACAGCTACACAGAAACCCCTACTACGCCCAAAGCAGAATCATTAACCACAAGAACATAACAGAGAGAGAGAGAGAGAGAGACGCAGACCTTTGAGCAAGGCCAGAGGCGTTGAGCTTGTCCCAAATGGCGCGAATTCGATTGGGGTTTTCGACGTGGTCGTCGTCATCTGGGTCTGCATGGTTGCACATTCTGTCGTCGTATATCAGCCCAACACGACGCCGTTTTGGGGCATCTTCCTCCATTATCGCCATACTCTCTCTCACTCAGATTATTAGAGCCGAGAATATTCAAGTTCGAAGCTAAATTGAACTACAAAATGCACTCAAGTATACGAAAAGGCGAAATGAAGTTGGGGCGTGTTTGGTTGATGTATTTTGAAAATCAATTATAGCCCTTGGAAAGGCACGTGTTTGGCACGTGATAACCATTTTGGCGCTCATCCTCCCCCTCCAACATAGTAATTGCATTTTGAATTTTCACAAGGGTGTATTGGCCCTAACTATTAATGCATATGAAATATTTACTGTTGAAGACACTCTAAAACAGTGGCTGTTGAAACCCAAGATTAAAAAAAATTATTTTTTAGGTATTTTGTCATATTACATTTTACTTTTATTACTTTTTACCCCCATTTTTTTTGTAAATATGTGTCTTAACCCTTCAACATTTTGTTTCTTCTCCATAATCTTATATCAATTATAGATATTGATGTGACTTATTCCTTAATTTAATAAAAGAAATCACCATCCCACATTTAGGGGTGGTAAACGAGCCGACCCGACTCATGAGCTCGATGAGCCGGTTCGAAAAAAGCTCGAACTCGGACTCGAGTTTTTCGAGCTCGAGCTTTTTAACGAGCCGAGCTCGAGCCAGTTTTTTGTTGTTCATGAACTCACAAGCCGGCACGCGAGCCTTATTTTTTATTTTTTTATATATTATTTTTTATTTAAATAATGTAGAATAATTTAAAATATTATAGAAATAAATAAAAATAAAATATAAATATTAAAAAATATATATAATTACAATTTATTGTTTATTTTGTATTTGTTTATAATAAATTTTAATAATAATAAAAAAAAATATAGAAATAAAAAAAAAAAAAAACAAAATGAACTAATCGGGCTCGGGCTCGAGCTCGAGCCAAAAAAGAAAGAACTCGACGAGCTCGAACTCGACAAAATAAACTCGAGCTCGAGCTCGAACCTGCGAGAAGAGGCGAGCTCGGCTCGTTCACACCCCTACCCACATTGATTAAATAGTAAAAAGTTCATGTGAGCTTTTATCTATTTAATCTTCAGTATAATTAACATTTTAAGGTACATAATTTCTTACTGACTTAATTGCTTTCAAGTATTGAATTAATTATCGACATGCGACATCATCTGACTTAAGCGTCGAAGTGTAATCGTCGGGAGCTCTTTGAGCGTGTCACATAATATATTAAGTGATTTTGCAAGAAAGACGAACAAGCAATTAAGTCAATAAGAAATCACTTAACACGTTCAATTTTGTAATGGAGGTAACATGCCACTGTGCAATCAATTAAGTCGACCAATCAATTAATTCGACCTTTTATATTGTCCATTTCATTTCTTCTCACATCTGATTTCGCCCTAAATTTTGTAATGGAGGTACCATGCCACTGTGCAAGAAAGCTAACCATGAAAACTTCATGGACTGACTTCAATCTAGGAAGGAGATACTCCACATGTGAAACATATCAGGTAAAGTTTCAATTTTTTTTTAATTCATAAATCAGCTATATTCCTTTCTTTTCTTCTGATTTGGTTCTATCTTTTTAGCAAGTTGGAGGTTGTAACTATTTTGCTTGGATTGATCCACCTATGTGTGAACATTCGCGTCAGATCATACCGGATTTGCTTCGGAGAATCAACAAGCATGAAGAGATCATGAAGAAGAAACAACAAGGGAAAAATGGTTGTGGCTTGGAATAATTGTTTCATCGTTGATTGTCTACTATCTTCTGTAAAGGTAGATATCGTTTCATGGATGTAATGAAAAGGAAGCTTAAGTTAGTTAGGTGAACTGTTTCAGTGTACTCTGTTTTACTGTACTTTGTTTTAATGTTGTAATGAGTACTCTGCTCTGCGTTTTTAATGAAATTTGGTTATCTATTTGGTTGTTTTGCTCTGTATACCATATGTAACACTTACCTCCTTGTGGTTTATGTAGCGTAAAAAAATCTTTAAAGAAAGTGTTAAATTCACTTTAGACCCTTAAAGTATATCATATGTAACACTTATCTCCTTAAAATATCATTTGTGACACTTACTCCTCAAACACCATTTAATTTACTTATAAAAAAGCACCATTTAATTTGTGTTTCAAATCTTAGTACATTCAAAATTTATCTTTTATTGGGATGAAATAACTAAAAAGAATAATTATATTATATTATTAAAATCACGATGAGCTTAAAGTTATTTTAGCATACCTCAGGGGTGTAGGTTTAATTTACCCTTAAAAATATTATCTTGCGTTGGGTACACATTTAATAGGGTAAATAACACTTAACCCCCCCTATAGTTACAAGCTTTTGCAGATGACCCCCTTGTACTTGTAATATCTTCACATAACCCCCTTGTGGTTTATGTAGAGTATCTTCCGTTAGTTTTTCCGCCAAACTTAACCGCGTGTGTCAAATTTCAAGCGAGTGCAAAAAAATTAAAACTAAGAAAAGATTTTTAAAAATCAATGAATTCCAAATAACTAACTATTCTTGAATTTCTACGTCATTAATTTCATAAAATGTTTATGCAATAAATTTATATTAAACTTTAAGAAATCAATTAATAATAAATAGTAATCTTAAGTGTTTTAATTTATTTTTATTCATTAATTTCTGAAAAAATATCGTTTCATTCATTATGATATAATATCTATTATTATCAATGTTTTTCCAATAATTTAAATTTACTTACTTTTAAATTTTATATGATCTAATAATTGTTGTATTGTTATTTTATTTATTCTAGCTAAGAAATATAAAATTTTACAATTTGAAATATTGCAATAAATTTTAAATTGATATTTTTATTTAATTATTGGAATTATTCAATTATTCCATCCAATGAAAGTGGAAATATATTAAGATTATTATTATTTCTTAAAATTTAAGATACAAAATAATTGATATTGAGGGGTTAAGTGTAACATACACTATAAATCAGGGGTGAAAACGTATTTGACCTGTTTTCTTCAAAAGAAAAGTAAGAAATAAAATTTTATTTATTCAAAAATTAAAACATGACTGTTAACTCTAAATAAATATAATGAAGAATATTATACATACATAACTATGACTGTTAACATTAAATAACACAAAATTGTTATAGAATAAAATATTATTTATTCAATGTCACTTTATTGAAAATTTACAAATTCCACCTTTAGAATTGACGAACAATCAAAAACCCCAATACTGTGGCAGAGTACTGCAAAAAAAAAAAAGAAAGAATACTGAGAGTTGTGCAAGAATTTGGGGAGATTTCTGGTAATGTATTGATATTTCGGTATTTCTAAAGATTTGTTAATCGGGATTGCGGCTTTGGTGGGAAACACTGGTGCGATAGTGAGGGTTTCACATCGGAGAGTTGGGGTTGTAGATACAGGATGAAATTGCAGACGATGTGTTGATGGGTTGGAGGCCAAACCCACTGAATCTGGATTCGAGATTTAGTAAATCTCGACATTCGCAAGCCCTCGGGTAGGATTTATCATTGATGATTAAACAGAGTAACAATAAAGGAAATTTCATTTGATTTAATAATATTGTGGTCTTTAATTGAAATTATTTTTCATTTGGTTTAACAATCGTACTAAACAATGAAATGATTCAACAATTTATTGTGATTTTCATTTCAATGTTTTCTTCTGATTACCTAAACTAACTAAAGTAATTTTTCAGAAGCTCAAAAAATATGAGCAGGTACATATGATTCTTCGGTTCCATAATTTTATCAATCTAGTCATATCTCCGTTTGAACAGATTCGATATTATACATGTGATAATGTTTATTTTTAAAAAATGATAAATTTTAACTTCCGTTTCCCAGGTTCTGCCGTCGAATTTCGCCTGAATAGTATTCTATGACCTACTGAAACATAAATGCGGTGCAATGGCTTTTATGCACTATATATGTAAGTTATTAATCGGCCGTGTTCTGAAATTTATATTGCAACTATTTCCTTTTTTTCACTTGGTTTTATACTGAGAACACTTAATCTATAGACAAAACAATAGTGCAATGATATGTAAGTTACATGTCATAGAATATTAGTATAGAAAATGGTTCTGCATTTTTTGTCGTAAAATGACAAAGTGAAATAAACAAACTCAAATAAAACTAAATTTCAAGAATATGATAGGCTAGATTAAACTAAGGACATAATCCATAACCCTGCACCACACTACTCTTTTTCTTATTTTGATTTTGATATTGTGCCCTTTTGTATTCTTACTTTTCATCTTAAGGTCTTCAAGTGTGTCTTCGTCATCAGAACTCTCAACGGTACTTATCTTCTTACGGATTCTTTGCACCTTCTTTAGATGTCTCTGGCAATTTTCTTCTTCTATAGTAGGCTGAATTCTTTGTATTGCATCAGCCATAGCCTTAAGTTGTCCATTGGAATAAGTTTTTTGCAAAACTAACCCCTGTGTAATCTAAAATTGCTGAAAAAACCCTCGTGTTAAAAAAATTAGCAATAACCCCCCTATGAAAATTAGTCAAAGGCAACAAGGGCCCTGCCAGCTTATCGTGTGCTCCACACGCGGATTGTGCGACTGAGGGTGTATTTTTTACCCGAAAGGACCAAAATGCCCTTTAAATTATAAATTTCAAAAATTACAGATTCACCCCGAAATTCAATAGGCTCAAAATGAAGTTTTCAAAAAAATTCCTTCAATCCTTAACCTTTTAGAAAAAGTCATCTTCTCCAAAATAATCAAAAAAGTTCACTCAACCAGCTTAACACCATCTCCGACGTCTTCGTCATCAGAAAACATCAATTTCGATTTCTACTTTGAAACGGCATCGTCGAGCCCACCTCCGACCCGCACTCGAACTCCGAAACGGAGTCGTTTGGAAGTCGGCAGCACAAAATGTTAGTTTACGTTTTTTAATGTTTTATTTTTTGGCCGACTAATCTTTTATTTTAATTAATTAAATTGTGGGTAATTCAATTATGGTATTAAGGTGATTTATGGTATTTACTTTGTAAGGTAATAATACAATAAAAGACCATGATGGGTGGGATTTGTCTTCTGCCGTTACAAAGAATCGTGGCCCTCTTCTCTCGTCTATAAAAGCATCCACAACTCTTCTCCTCAACATCAGACGCAATTTGAGATTTCCATCACTTACAGAATATTTAGGAGTTGTGATATTACAGAGATGGAGAGAAAAAGGTGTGCCTACGAATAAGGTTCTCACAAGGAGATTCAGAGGAGGCCTGGCTAGGTTCGGCTTGTAGATTGTTATCGTTAATCGTTCATCGTCTCTATCGAAATCCATGGCGAACGGTATGTCGATAATCCCGATTATGTGATTATGTTCTTAAGATGAATTTGATTTCAAGATTCTGTAATTAAGGTTTTCCACATAAAGTTAAATAAAAGTCTTTCACAAAATAGATCTAAACCGGCTCCAATTCGTTCTCGGGTTCGAGGGTTGGCAGCTTACCTCCCAAACCTCTATTCTAAATTCTGTAAACCTTGATTTGTACATGAGTGAGGTCGACTCCAAAACCACCTCCACCACGGTCACCGCCATAACCACCTCCACCACAGCCGCCTTGCCACCGTACCTCCCTCACGATGTCAAGATCCACCGCACGCCGCCGCAATTGCAGGTACACGATGGTTCCCGAACGTGTGCAACAGTTGAAATCGAAATAAATATCTTCGACCTCGAAACTGTAGTAGTACACACGTCTGTACGTGCTCTTCTACTCCTCTTTAGCAGCAAAAGTACGAAAAGCGTAGTTCATTAATTAGCCCTACGAAATTGTGAAGAACAGAAATAAAGACGCCCCACACCTCTAATCTCTAATTTCCACGTGTCCTTACCTGGGTGCTTCATCGGAATATACACTGCCACATCGGATTACACCACCCATAAAAACAATTTGTCCAATTTCCATTTCATATCACACATTTTCTCCAAACGAATTTACACCAACCAAAACATACTCAGAGAGCGGTGGGCAACTTGGGCAGAAGGTGATGATGGCCCTCAGAGCTTCATCCGCCGCGCGTCCGCCGTCTGTTTCACAGTCGCCGCCGCTGCTCTCGCCATCGCCCAAGACCGTTCTTCTACCCTCTAAGGCACCACCAGTCAACTCTTTGTCACTGCCTGCCGCTTCTATTTTGCCTCTCTTTGCTCTCTTTGCCGCCCCCATTGAAGCCAGAGCTCAAATCTTCCCCAAGGAACAGATTGTTTCTTCAATCACTCAGGTGGGAAGAAGTTACCACTACCAATTTTTTCTCAATTTCGTTATTTGTTTGTTTTAATTTGTACCGGCGTGTCATAATTTCCTGTTTAATTAGAACTGTCATGCATAGCATTTTCTTCTGTTATATCAATTGATGAATTTTCGGAGCGAACTTAGCTCTATTTATTGATTTGCTCACTTTTATTCTGTAAATTGAAGAACATGACTTATAATTTGAAGAATGCTGGAGAGAATTGAGTTTAGTTTTGATTTTATTATCGAATCACATTTTATTTAGGGCAAAAATCAGGGATTTGGGACCCTTGTACTGAAACTTGCATAATTTTGTTGGATCATATTCAGGTGGAGTCTACAATAGATCAAATACAAGAATTGGGATCGAGTTTTTTCAGTAGTGCAGGGCAAGTGATTGGAGCTGTGACGAATGCTGTGAAACCAGGTGTAGACGTGGCAATGCCGATATTAAAACAAGCTGGAGAGCAGGCTTTGAAGATTGCTTCTCCTGTCGTATCTGAAGCTTCTAAGAAAGCTCAAGAAGCCATTCAGAGTTCTGGATTTGACACTCAGCCTGTCATTAGTGCCGCTAAGGTACACTCATAATTTGGAGCGATTAGGGTCTTCTTACAACGAATATATTTTCTAATTACGGGAACATTATTTTTTTGGGTTTTGCCGAAGAGAAAGAATTAAAAATGAATGATATTTGGAAGAAAAGTACAGGGAAGTTCTGATTTTGTTTTTATATAAAATCAAGTCTACTTGTACTTTCTGAAATTATATACTCTTAATCGTTCAGCGTAGTTTCTGAAGTTCTCCTCCATCCAATGGCTATATTTCTAGAACAGTGTTTTTTTACATTCCTCATGCATGTAACTTATTATATTGCATCATCTTAGATATATAAGTTAACCAATGTTTATTAGAGCAGAATGTTTGTGTAAGGTGAAAATTGAAGTCATAAAATTTTGTTCAAAAATCCTAATAGCACGGGATGTTTGGTGAATGTGAAACTCAGAGTGCAGAGGAGATGTTTTTGGTATTTATGGGAGGCCGGGTACTAGTTGGTAATTTTAGCTTTGTCGAAGAGGGGGTCAAATGTATCTAATCCTTTTCATTTAAGTGGGATGATATTGGGGTAAATTTCATTGGGTTAAATTTCTTTCAGAATAGTGCTTTAATCCAAGAAGTTAGAATTTTCAATCGCCACATTTATGATTCATGAAAAACGCATTGAGTATAGGAACAAGGAACCTACATAATTGGAACACAAAAATGCACTAAGGGAGCTTGGAGATGAATTGTATAATTGATGTCCTTAATTATTCAGCTCACACACACACGCACACACATGTGTGTGTGTGTGTCTATATATATATATATATATATATATACACACACACACACACACATATATATAATGGCCATTTTCAATTGCAGACAGTGGCTGATGCAGCTCAGCAAACAACAAAAGTGATTGACGAGGCAAAACCGCTAGCCACTTCTACAGTTGAAACAATATCATCTGCTGAACCTGTTGTTATTTTGGCAACTGGTGGTGCTTTAGTCGTTGCTTATCTCTTACTTCCTCCCATTCTCTCTGCTATCTCCTTCAACCTTCGTGGTTTCCAGGGTAACTAACTTGTTCTCTTATTTTATTTAATTATAATCTTCTTCTTTTTTTTTCTCTTAATCATTTCGGTTTTGGATGCTATATATTATATAGGTCAACTAACTCCTGCTCAAAGCTTGGATCTCATGTCCACAAAGAATTACATTATGATTGATATAAGGTCAGAGAAGGACAAAGACAAGGCCGGCATCCCTCGCCTTCCTTCCAGTGCTAAAAGCAAATTGATATCAATCCCGTGAGTAAACCCTTCCTCATTAACATTACTTGTATCGAATTAATATCGACTATTATGCACATCAATGTCAGGCAACTGCGTATTAGACACACATTCTACATTGTCTTATCACTTAATTTCTTGGTATAACACCTGCATATTTAATTTGCCTCGTGCTATGAATCATGGTCGATGCATGCATGGCGAAAGAGTGGATTATTTCCTTGTTAATGAACTTCTTACTTGCTCTTTCTTTCTTAATTCCTTTTTCCAGCTAAGAATATTTTTCTATTGCAGTTACAGAAGAATAAATTTTAATAGTCCTTGCATTTAGTTCGAAATGATCTTGCATGGACTAACAGAAAGTTATAATCTTCTTTATCTGCTTACTCTTTTTTCCTTATTTTCTCTAACAAGTAAATATTGGTCATGTTTTTTAGACCTAGACCAGTAAACCCATCATTTTTCGACTCTGCAAATATAGATGCTAACGTCTGAAAAGTAATACATCCAGGTGTAGATGATTCCGTTGTTCTGGAAGTACACTAACTTCAGCAATGAAAAGATGCTTTAGAAATGAAGTTAGTTATAAATTGAGTCAGAAAGAAGGAAAAAAAAAATACATACGATTACCTTTGTATGTTATATCCTTACAAAAGTTCAAATATGTTTCAGTTTAGAAGAATTACCGAGCAAGCTCAAAAGCCTTGTCAGAAATGTTAAGAAAGTAGAAGCTGAATTGGTGGCACTGAAGATCTCTTATCTCAAGAAGATCAATACAGGTTCAAACATCGTAATTTTGGACTCGTAAGTCATCTACTCCTTTTCCTCAGTACTCCGACATATTTGAGCAAATACCACGATACATTAAATTTCACTAAGCCTTAGCATGCATGATTTTGTACCTTGTATAAATAATTACATTTGCAATTTTACAACATTTCCAGGTACTCAGATTCAGCTAAAACAGTTGCCAAAACTTTGACGAAACTTGGTTTCAAGAATTGCTGGATTGTGGCTGACGGATTCTCGGGAGGCAAAGGCTGGCTGCAGAGCCGTCTGGGAACAGATTCTTATAATCTATCATTTGCTGAAGTTATATCGCCGTCACGAGTTATTTCTGCAGCTGGTAGACGATTCGGCACGTCTAGCTCCACTAAGTTGCTCTCTGGTGGCTCTGATTAAACTTCCTTCACACTTGTAATCTTAGATTTTTTTTTTATGTTATCTTCTTAGTTTACCTATAGTCCTTTCCAATTTTATGTTGTAATTACATTGATTGATTTTGAACGCGTCTTGTTGATGATGTCTATATATATATTTTATGAGTAACATTGCTTTTCTTTTTTTATATTTACTAGTAACTTCACCATTGCGATGGGCGGGATTAAAAAAAAAAATGCAAAAGTGAAGACAATACACGGGATTAAAAAAAAATGCAAAAGTGAAGACAATTGACCAAAAAATCCATTAAAATTCAAAAACCATTTAAAAATTTTGATGTAAACATCGTGTTTAATTGGTAATCGTATTAAATTATGTGCATGCATAGGATAAATTATCAACATTAGAAAGGAGAGAAAAATTATGTGCATGCATATGATAAATTAAAAAAATTGGACACATCATACAAAAAGGAGGGAAACTTAACTCTCAAATCTTAAACACCAAGAGGAAACGGGAACCACAAACTTTTGGTAGAGAAAATATTGTAATCATACATATCTTTTTTTTCTTCCAATTTAATAGAAAATTAGATCATAAGAAATTTTGGGGAGAGGAGAAAAATATATTGAGATAAGCGCAATATGAGCATAAGTTACTTGAGAAACAGCTCACTAACTCCAGTCTCAACAAAAACTCACAATATACAAATAATTATATCAAAACTTAGCAAATAAGAAAAGCACCATCGGCATCATAAGGGGGCATCATGACACCAACCATCTTTGTAGGATTTAATTACTTAATCAAATTAATTCCCTTCAATAGCGATAAAGTAAGTGAATTTTAATGAATATAGAACAACGACACATGAAGACGGATTCCCAACTGACTCCAACGACATTAAACCACGTAGAGAAAAAATCAGATTCAAGATAAAATAGGAAAACAACATAGAAAATAAAGAAAAAGTACAATTAAAAAATAGAATATTACCGAGCATATTTTCTGGTAGCTTCTCCAAACCCTTAAGTTAAGTATCATATCGCCAAAAATCAGCAAGACAAAAATACAAATAACACATACATAAATATTCTAAACATAAATTTGCTTCAAGCAACAACAACAAAATTAAACCGGTATGGAGCGTTTTTTGGCCTGGCCTCAAACCATAATAAATAGTGGGCAAATTCAAGAGAGAAGAAGAAACATATATGAAACAACAAAATATATTGTTTGACTTGGTCAAATGTAGAACATGAAAACGGATTTTGGTTATAAATAGACAAAGGAAGCAGCTCAAACAATTTCTTAGAATGCGAACATAAGTAACATCCACTAAGTAATCCTTATACAATTTCATATGTTTAACCACATGCAATCAATTTCATCTAATCTAAGTATTGAAACATGACACTGAATATTACACATAAATAATAAACATGTTAAAAGTAAAGAGTTATAATCAAATATATAAATAATTAGTACTCCATCATTTAAAACGCCGTATATTCACTGCAATAAGAAAAATATCAAGATGGCCAAAACTCATGTCTCCTAATATGAGATCCGTCAAATTCAATAGGGAGAAAGAAAATTTGAACTGAGATATTCAAAGGGTTGATTGATTCTACAGATTGCTAGTTTGCACAGAAAAATCCTTTAATAGAAGTTACGTCGGTGTGAAGATTAACATTTTAAAATATATGCGTTGATTTGCTCAACCTTATTTTTTGAATTAATTGTCGATTTTTTGAAAATTTATGCTGATACATTTGTCTTGTGATGCGGCTAATTTAAATGGCTGAAATTTAATTAGCCTAATCGATTTAACAACAACTGGCTGGATCACAAGAGATCAATAAATTCCATAAAATTGCTAATTTTGTTATATTTTCCCTAATTTTTAGCAAACAAAAATTCAATAAATATATAGTAATAAATAAAATATATCCAGGAAATTAATAATACGTGTTAATAATTAATTGCATAGATTCACGGCAAAGAATAGGAGTCTATAATTAAATATTGTTAAAATAAATTATATTAAATTAAATTAATTAAATAAAATACAATTATAACTATCAAATGAGCGGGAAAAAAACCTAGAGTTTACCAGGAACAACCTTATTTTTGTTAATAAGATATGGGGCGACTATTTGGAATACAAAAAAATTGCTTAGTTACAATACATTAGTAGTTGAAGACCTTATTTTACCACTTTCTTCTTAGTATAATACCAGAAAAAAAAAATCGCTTATTGAAATACATAATTATTAGAGCATCTTCCAACGTCAACACCATTTTTTCACCAGCTCCAATTTTTTATGGTGAAATGATGAGTTAATCGCTCACCCGCAACACACTATTGACTATTCTACAGTTTCACTATATTTATGGAAAAAATAGTGTACTTGGTCTCCCACCAATTCCATCAAATTATACACCAAAACAAAAATATATATATGTTTCACTATTTCGACATTTATAGAGAATAGAATTTAGTTTGATCTCTCATGGTATTTCACCAAATATATCACAAAATTATAAATTTAATGTTAATCATACTTTTAATCTATTTTATTTCCAAAATATTGGTTATGGATTGAAGTAATAATTTTGTTGACGATATAATTGTAAAAAACGTGATAAATTAAAACAAAAACTATTGAAACATGAAAGAAAATCAACTTAAATTATTATGGGACAGTAAAAACAGACACAAATAATAATTTCATAAATTATTGCATAAAAATGTTACAACATTTTTCGTTGGCCAAAATAAATTATTTCAAGAATTTAGATAAAAAAAGTTTTCAAGAAAAAAAAAGGAAAAAAAAGAGTCAACGCCGGAGACCGGGGGTCTCCGGTGGTCTCTGGTGGTGGCGGGTCAAAATTGAAATTATTGTCAAAATTGGTTAATTGGTGAAATTGGGCTAAATTAGAGTTTAAATCATGAAATTGGAGTGAAATTGACTTTTTTTGGGTCAAAAATAGACTTTTTAGTTGTCGGTGCAACAAATTAGTAAGTCCAGGTATGATCGTGGATTTTTTATTTATTTAGGGGGCAAAGAGCAAAAACGACCAAAGTAAGGGGCAAAGTGCAGTTAGCCATACTTTTAATTCTCTGGTATAATTATGTAAGGTTAATAAAGTAATTTTACATGAAGTTCGATGGAATACGACATGTGTACGATCTATTTTTACTGGGTTCGTACTTTAATTTATAAATTCATAGGTTGGTATTGAATCGTACTAATTCGTACTTTAAATCAACGACTATAAATTTTTACTAAATATTTTCTACACATCAGATTAAATCGTTTGTGTCCGAGTAGTACAACCCCTCTCGGACCTTAGACAACCCCAAGAAAGGTTTGCCTCGAAACCCTAATGGCAAATTTGGAAAAAAAATGGTAACCTAGGGATAATTTTTACTAAATATTTTCTACACATCAGATTAAATCGTTTGGGTCCGAGTAGTACAACCCCTCTCGGACCCTAGACAACCCCAAAAAAGGTTTGCCTCAAAACCCTAATGACAACTTTGGTTAAAAAATGGTAACCCTAGGATAATTTTGGTAAATCATAATTATATTCAACTCTTAAGGTTTCTTTTTCTTCTTTATCCTTATTATTTTTTCCGTCTCTTTTTACACGTTCAGGAAGTTTTATTTTCCCTCTTTTCCTCAACACGTTCGGATTAGTTTTTTTTTTTTTACTTTTTTAATTATTTTTGTTTGCCTTTTTTGGGTTGTTTTTTTACAAACCCTCAATTCTCCACTACTAGAAAATCCGAAGCTTTCATACACGATTGACAGGAAAATTGAAACACTTTCATTTCAACTCCCCATCAGAAATTGCTACCCTATTTAAAGGTCATAAATAAATTTTCTTCTTCTTTGTATTTTCTTCCTTTTTTTTTTTTAATCGGGTTTCTTGATTTTTCTTATGTCAAAATCTTCCACGATTTAAAACTTGTCCCACTTTATCAAAAAAAAAAATGAAATTTCTCCCACTATCGTTCTCTCTTTACCCAATTACCAACAAACAAACGCCAAGTTTTCTTTTTTCCATTTTTTCACCCACGTTTCAACAAATGCATAATTCTTGAGGGCGGATCGGCTAGAAGTGGAAAATCTGGGGAGTTCTCCAATTTGGCCTACGGCGGTCGCTTTTCCACTCCCCCTCTTCAAGTTTAATTCAATGCGCTTAATTTAATTTGGCCTAAATAGTACCATAATTGATCGATCGATCTGTGTCCTATATATGGGATGCTGTTGGATTCAGATTTCTCAACTATTTTATATGCTAGATTTTCAGGCTGTGAATGATAGCATGGTTATTTGAACAAGATCAAGCACTGGATTTATGGGGGATAGTTTAATTATTATTGTCGATCTTTCTACTATTTTTTTATTTTTAGTCCACCTTCTCTACCATGTGGCAACCGCATTCTCTACAAGCAAATGCCAAGCACTTGGTTGATTAACGAGTAATATTGATGTAGAAATGATGTATAGAACACTAACATTTGGTTTTTGATCATTATCTTCAAAGTTCATATGGTTTGATTTTCTTTATACATTTGTATAATTTGATTGTTCATATGATACTTCATAATGCATGATTGTCATTTGTTATAATGTCATAGTAAAATGTTGATTGTCAACCGATTATCTTTTTGCTTTTGACAAATTTAGTCTCCAAGCTGAATATCTTTATATTTTAGTTAATGGACATACTAATCATCTATCTTTCATTACGGAGTATATTATTTTTTAAACTGAACTATTACAAGTGATGGATGTAAAAGTTCTCATATTTATAGCATTTCAAAATATTTGTTATAGCTTATATTGTTGAGTTGTGTTTCATATAAATAATGATCAAATTAACTTGATCTGTCAAAACCTTTTATGTATTTAAAAGATTATTTTCTTATTTTTTGAAATTCTACCCGTACATCGCACGCGAGATATAATAATAATAATAATAATAATAATAATAATAATAATACTAATACGAATTGCTTTAGCTTTCAAGATCTATACCTAGAAGAATAAGTATGCCTTCTGAGATGCCTATTCCTCGTATTGTTATTGTGTACCATGCCAATAGGTGCACTTTACTATTTTTCCAATATTTATCTTTTTTAAATAAAAAAATAATTTCTTAAATTAATATATTTAAGTTAAAAGAAAATTATTAATAATAGTTTAATATGAACATGAATGGATATAACGTTAGTTTATTTTGAAGCACAAGGCAGCCATAATGACAAATTAGGAGAGAAGTTAGGGTGAAAATTGATGGAGCCAAAATCATAAGGGTATAAATGGTATACACTATAAATAAAGAAAATAAAATTAGTTCTGGCCGGCCATATTCTGGCCGTTTAGCACTATCCAAAAATGAAACCAATGATGCTTGGAGTTTTCCCTCAATTTGCCCATTATTTAATGTCCAGCATTAACTTTTATTAATGTTTCTTAACTTTTTAACTTAAATTAAATGAGTGGATGCTTGCTTTTATTAGTGGACCCGTACGTTTCAAATGTTCCTCATTTTACAATTATATAACGGGTTTTTGTCCATAAGTCCCTAAGCAAACATCTTTATTATTCTAGATTTAGGGTTATATCTCTTTCATCAATAAGCTCATCTCTTTAATATTTATTAGAAATATAAATAAAGGAAAATTCATGTATATGACAAAATTACTCCAACCCTTTACACCAATTCTTAATTGTAACCCCAATTTAATCAATTTTGACCAAAAAATCCAATTTTGATCTTTTTTTTTCAAAAAGATAATTTTGCCGCTGGATTCTGGCGTTGACTTTTCGATTTTTTTTTTCTGGTATGTTTTTTCCGCAGCCGGATTTCGGCGTTGACTTTTTTTTTTTTTTTTTTTTTTTTTGAACGTCCGCCGCCGTAAATGTGCTGTCATTAACGGTAATTATACTGTCACTAACAATATATTAACTTAATTATACAGTCACTGACAGTACATTAACGTAATTGTACTGCCGTTGACAATACATTTATGTAATTGTACCGCCGTTGACAGTAAATTAACGTAATATTATTTTATTTTATTTTTGTTATTTTTTTAAAATTTTGTTTGATTTGTTGACAAGTCAACGTAATTATATTATTCTCGTTGATATTAAAATAATTGTAAACACAATATTACTGTCAACCACATCAATATTATTATTTTTTCTGGGTTTTTTTTGTTTTGTTTGAGTTATTCACGGAGTGACGTAATAATATTATTGTCTATTATTGTAATATTACTGTAAACACAATAATATTACTGTGGTTGACGGTGATATTACTGTCAACCACATCAATATTATCATTTTGTTTGGGTTTTTTTTTTTTTTTTTTTTGTTTGAGTTATTCGCGAAGTAACATAATAATATTACTGTCTATTATTGTAATATGATTGTGGTTGACGGTAATATTACTGTTGTTATAGTAATATTACTGTCATTCACAGTAATATTAATTCTTTTGGCTTTTTATTATGTTTACAATTGTTGAACGGTCAACATAGTAATATTACTCTATTACACAATAATAATGAGTTTTGTTGTGTTAATGTTACTGTGCTAGAGATTACTATAACTATATTACTGTGTTAAACTGTAGTATAGTTAATTTTACAGTGTTTAACAGTAATATAGTTAATATTACTGCCAATCACAGCAATATTGCTGTTTAAACGGAAAAAAAAGATGTTGCAGAAAGAAAGAAAGAAAGAAAATCGAAAAAGTCAACGTTGGAAACCAATGGCGGAAAAATCAGGAAGAAAGTCAACGCCTGAGACCGGCGGTCAACGGCGGTGACAGACGAAATTGTCCATAAAAATGTGTTTTGAGTCAAAATTGAATATTTTGTGAAATTTAGGGTCGAATTGAGGTTATATTAAATTAAATGATGAAATTAAAACATATTAAAGTATGATGGACTATTTTAAACTTTTACAAACCTTTGGACCATGTATAAACTTTTTTCGTAAAAGAGTTTATTGTCTAGATCGTGTACCCATTAATAGCAATGGGAAAGAGCCCTTATTATAATAGTCACTTGATTTCCGCGGGTATCCAATCCAATCCAATCCAATCCAATCTAACTAATAATACATATCACTATCCTGAAATGAAATGGCCACCACGTACGAATCATGTGTAACCTATCAACTTCTATCACAATCAATTCTTTCTTTCCTTCCTCCCCAATTCTTACTACCAATCCCTAAAATCATCCTTCTTTCTGTGTTTGTGTTACGTTGTAATGGGGACTGAGAATTACAAGTCCCTCGACTGTATCGCCGCCTCTGATATAGCGGCGTTGGGCATACCCTTCGTAACCGCCGATGAACTCCACCGCCGTCTCGCCGGGATTATTCAAAATCACGGCGCCGGAAATCCCCAATCGTGGAATATCATCTCCAAGCAACTCCTTACACCGGAGCTACCCTTTTCGTTCCATCAGATGATGTACTATGGCTGCTACAAACACTTCGGACCCGACCCTCCCGCTTGGTTACCCGACCCGTATGTACTGTTCCTTTTCTTCTCTCTCTGTACGAATAAGCAGCACGATAACAGAAGTAGGGAAACTTAAATGTAATTTCTATTGGATGACTTAAAAAACCAGACACGAATAAGATGACAGAAAAATAACACACTTGCCAAAGATTACAAAGTTGCTATGTTTTGATTTTTGACTATATTTGTTCTTCTACACAGTGGTGATTCAAAATTGACTAATGTTGGCAAGCTACTGGAGGAGCATGGAAAACAATTCTTGGGGTCGAAATATGTGGATCCTATATCGAGCTTTCTCGATTTTCAGGAATTTTCTGTTTCATGCCCTGAGGTTAGAATTAATTTTTCGGTTAGAATTAATTTATGGTTGATCCGTAGTTACTAGAAAGAACATGAATCATTTACCTCTTTCCAATTTCTGTTCACTTCTTGTTCTTTCTTAGGTTTATTGGAGAACTTTATTTGACAAAATGAATATCTATTTTTCGGTTCCGCCTGAATGCACTTTACGTGAGGATAGTACTCATCCAGGCGGTCATTGGCTTCCACATGCATGTACTAATCCAGCGAACAATTGCCTACGTTTGAATGCTCAACGGAATCTCAATGATATTGCTGTGATATGGCGCGATGAAGGAGATGATGAAAATCCAGTAAATAAAATGACTGTTAAGGAGCTACGCTCGTCAGTTTGGTATGCTATTTTTTTCGTTTTAAGTGATTGACATTATTAATCATTTCTGATATTTTCGATGAACATAGGCTGTTCCTTTGAAACTTAAACTATAGTACCATGTGAAATTCGGTTAAGAATATTTTGTAGGCTTGTTGCCCATGCAATAGAAACTCTGAAATTGGAGAAAGGCTCTGCAATTGCAATAGATATGCCGATGCATGTTAACTCTGTGGTGATCTACCTGGCTATAGTCCTTGCTGGTTATGTTGTTGTATCCATTGCAGATAGTTTTGCACCATCTGAAATATCTGTAAGGCTCAAAATATCAAACGCCAAAGCAATTTTCACTCAGGTGAGAATCCCTTTTGTTTCACTATGAATGAAGGATTACCATATTTTTAATGCCTTTCTTAAAGTCTTATCGAGTGAGCCTGTTAATTGGCTTCATGGTACAAAAATTTCTTAATGTGCTGCTAAATGTATTATGTGCCGTTAATGTCGATGCTTAACTAAACCGTTTTTTTACTTTGATGGAACATCATAGGGAAAAGATTGTAGTAATTGTGTTTTCATTTGTTGAAACTTCAGTCTTCAAAAGTGGCAGTTGTATTATATTTGCAAAATTATTTATTGATGTGTTTGCTTTAGTTAATTGGAATGCTGCATTGTATGATTCTTTGTTTCAGTCTTCCTTTTTATTGCCTAACACCTCTTCAAAACTCCAACCTTTATTTCCAGGATGTCATCATTCGTGGTACTAGAAAACTTCCCTTGTACAGGTGATCTCTCTCTCTCCTCCCAAGAAAATTGCACATGTCTCCTGCAAAGACAAGATTTGCTGTTCTTTTTTAAGAAAATAGGACCAACTTTAATTGGTATGGCCCGAGTGGCACTACTCCAACTCAATGAAACAGCCTAACCATATTCGTGAAATCAGTATTAAACCATTGAGTCCTGATTTCAGTTCGTACTGCTATTGTAACCAGATTTCATGCTTGTCCACAATCCCCATAAAAAATACGCAATTTTTATGTAAAAATTTAAGAAGATATGTCTTTAAAGTCTGTATTTTAATTTTTTCTATGTGTAAGGCCTGACAACTATTGTTTGACATTGCAGTAGAGTTGTTGATGCTCAGTCTCCAATGGCAATTGTAATTCCCAACAGAGATTCGAATTTCAGCACGAAATTGCGTGATAATGACATTTCCTGGCAGAGTTTTCTTGAGAGAGCAACTGGTTTCAAGTAAGCATTCTTATCGATAAGGTTCTTTACACGCAACTTTTGTTTTTTTTTATCATAACTCTTTAACATACAGGAAACACCGTATGAGTCGATTGGTTTATACTAATTTTTAGAAATTAGTATCTATGAAACTTAAGTAAGCTTGAACTGGGAGTTTCAAAGCGGAATTTAAATCGAAGTTGGTTTACTGCTGTTTTTTTCTGAATTATTCTTTTTATTTCTTGTATAACGTCTTAATTTGTTTTGAGGGTTTTCTATTAACAATTGCATTTAGAAAAGAAAATATTACAAATAATATCTAAATATTCCACAAGTGATGATGTCTGTTCGACTTGCCACACTCAATTGAGCAATGCCTTTTCATCTCTTCAATTTGTTTCGGCATGTTATCTGTTTCAATAATCTTTTTATGGAATCCGCCAGCTTTAGGCTCTCATACAATTAAAATGTCCACTTGCAGAGAAGTTGAGTTTGTTGCTGTTGAACAAACAACTGAAGCATTCACAAATATTCTTTTCTCATCAGGAACTACAGGTATATATGAATTACACGTCTATCAGGGGTCAAATTTTACCTAATTGTTCTTCGGCTCACTTTTGGTAAAATTACGCGAAACATCAAAAGGGTCATCTTTCCCCTTGTCCAGAATATATGCAACTAAATAAAATCGAACATTTTGTCACGGCATAATTGGTGGAGTATTTGATGCCATGCCATTATAATTTGTTTGATCATTCTGTGTAATTTTGAATGCTCTGTTGCAAAAAAGTTGAAAATTTCTCTTAACCTGGTGTAAGAAAATATTTGAAGTGAGTAAATGCAATTAATTGCAGGGGAGCCAAAGGCAATCCCGTGGAGTGTTGCTACACCTTTGAAAGCCGCTGCAGATGGATGGTGCCACATGGACATACGCAAAGGTGATATAATAGCTTGGCCAACTAATCTTGGTTGGATGATGGGTCCTTGGCTTGTTTATGCTTCTTTGTTGAACGGTGCTTCGATAGCTCTATACAATGGTTCTCCCCTTGGTTCTTCCTTTGCCAAGTTTGTTCAGGTCTGATGACGTAGCATCTATTTTGCATCAGTAATACCTTACATAACACTCGAGTTTGGCTTTACTTTTTCCATTGTGTTTCACTGATTTGAAATTCAAACTGTACTTTCAGGATGCTAAAGTAACAATGCTGGGTGTCATCCCTAGTATTGTCAGGGCATGGAAGAATGCAAATTCCACATCTACTTATGATTGGTCGGCCATCCGGTACGTTTGAATTGCCATTGTCACATGTTCTTATTAAGCACTATGTTACGCGTCATAATTGATATCGTGTAGTTGCTTTGCGTCAACCGGTGAGGCTTCAAATGTGGATGAATACCTGTGGTTGATGGGGAGAGCTCAATACAAGCCTGTTATAGAGTATTGTGGTGGCACTGAAATCGGTGGTGCTTTTGTTACTGGCTCTTTGTTGCAGCCGCAATCTCTCTCTGCTTTTAGCACTCCTGCAATGGGTTGCACTCTCTTTATTCTCGGTGATGATGGATTTCCCATAGTAAGTAAGCATCTTTCTAATGTGCAGAGAAAGGAAACAAAATTACAGGATATTCTTCTAAGATTCTCACATATTGGTAATACATTAAGGCCTAGTGTGGTTCTTAACATAAAATTTAATCTTATGAAAACTCTATTATATTATTGGACCATGGGATGTCCTATAAATAATCTCCCAATAATCCAAGATTAGAGCAATTTTTTCCGCAATTGCAGGCCTGCCCGAAAAGTTATTAGACTAACCAACATATCCAATAAATTAATTTTATTAATCATTGTTAATCCTACCAACCAAACGAGGCCTAAATACAGTGAATTAGAAGATTAAGATTAAAATTTCTATTGAAAAGGACCGTATTTATTATTCTCGTTTCTTTATGCGAAGCCACAAGACGGTGCGGGAGTTGGTGAACTAGCACTTGGTCCGCTAATGTTTGGAGCTTCAAGAACCCTACTGAATGCCGACCACTATGATATCTACTTCAAGAAGATGCCACTTTGGAATGGAAAGGTGAACCAAGATTTAATCCTCTCGCTTACTTGTGTCACTTTTGCAATTAGTGAGAACTCTTCTATTTTTATTTTTCTTACAGACTTTTTTCTTTCCTTTTTATTTGTCCTAATAGGTTCTGAGACGACATGGTGATGTCTTTGAGCGAACTTCAAGACGATACTACCGTGCGCATGGCCGTGCTGACGATACTATGAATCTTGGGGGCATAAAGGTAACTTTTCCCACAATTGTTTTAACTTATAATGTTTTGAGCCCTATAAGTAAAATTGAGCCTCATGCAGAAAATCAATATAGTAGTAAGGCTTTGTTTGGTTGTCATCAGGGTATGCCATGATTAATTAAATAATTGGACGTTTGAAGTTTGGTTAGTCTAGTAACGTTTTTCAAACTAACCAAATTTTTGGGGTGGTCCGAAAATTTTGGAGGAAAATGAGTACTTATCTTGATTTACAGGATGATATAATGGAGAATTGTGTATTGAACACGCTAATCCAACCATACAAACTGAGCTCTCATAAGTTTGTATAATCCCATCTTAGCAACCAAACAAGTCCTAAATTTACTGTGTAATATGTATTCACCAGTGAGATATTTTTTGGTGGATAAAGATGTAATTTGTGTTTTTTTTTTCTTGCATGTTCATGCAGGTGAGTTCCATTGAGATTGAGCGCATCTGTAATATGGTGAGCAGTGATATCGTAGAAACAGCAGCAGTTGCGGTCCCACCGCCAGGTGGCGGACCCGAGCGGTTAGTAGTTGCTGTTGTGTTAAAGGATGTTGATAGAAAGCCATTATTGGAGATGAGTAATCTTGCAGCATCTTTTAATTCTGCCCTTCAGAAAAAATTAAATCCTCTCTTCAAGGTATGTATGATATTAATATATATATATACTTGCTCTCTACAAAATCACGCAGCTCAATTTTGTGATCGATTTTTTCTCTAAAAATTTGCAGGTTTCTGATATAGTTCCCCTCCCTTCTCTCCCGAGAACAGCCACAAATAAAATAATGAGAAGGGTTTTGAGGCAGCAGTTCTCTGAAAATGATCAGAATTCAAAACTGTGATTCAAATGTTAGATGAATCGACTTTATGTAATTTTGTTTCAGTATATAGGCAAGCTAGGATTATCATTTTCGTCTCGTGGCACAATAATTTGTGTAATAACACGAACTGATCTCAAATTCCAAATAATAGGGGGGCAACAAAGTTCAGCAGATTTGGAGATTTTGTTTACCAGTGATGAAGATAACTAGAAACTAAACAATAATCTTTGAAATTAATTTTTCATATAGCAAGGACACAATATTATCAGTTTTGATTAAAGTCCCTCAAACTCTAAATAAACCGTCTTAAAAGGCATAAATATACACACCTATTCTGAGTACTAGTAACTCACCCGAGCGATGCACAAAGATTGATTAAAAAAATCAAAATGAGTTCATGTAGAAAACCAAAGAAAAAAAAATATGTCGAGAATGTAAATAATACAATTGAACAAAAAATAAAAATTCGTATCTTAATTTATCAATAAAAAGTCTGCATAAAAAATAAATTGAGAACTTTTTAAAAACCATCCACGTTGAAATGTAGCAAGTAACTCCCAAATTGAAATTAAAGCAATGCATCAGTCTTGCATATGGATCTGAATGTTGTTAAAGAAGACCACAAAACTACAATCAGATTTACGATAAGAGGACGGATAACCTGTTATTTTTCATCATTTTCAATATATAAGTTGAACACATTACGTAGATAAAGAATACTGATATATATATATATATATATATATATATATATATATATATATATATATATATATATATATATATATATGTGAGGGTATAAAAAAAAAAGAATAATAATCGATTATTCGAGTGGAAATATATTACATGCTGCAAATTAAATTGAACATACATAGAGTGTACACATTGATATAATAAAGAAATATGAACATGTTATCGATAAATGATGTTTGCAAATGTGTACCTTTATATTCTTTCAAATACTTCTTTGTACACGATGTTTCTAGGAATACTGGACAACTCACCGGATTCGCCCTTTATTAAAATCTTTATTCAGAATCTACTCTTCACCCGAGACAACGCTATGTACAATTGATCGTGACTGAAAACAGGCCTTGGAAGGTACAATCAAACGTGCAAGAGAGTTTGGTCTTGACTTTTGTTGATTGTCATGGCAAATGATATAATCACCGGATATTGTCGTCTTTGAAATTTAACTGCCCATGTGGAATTCGATGGTATCAAAGTCATCCGAGGAATAAATACCATGTCACCAACAATCTTACCGGACAATACCTTGCAACTAATTACATGCATGCCCAATCTTTCAACTTGGAGACGAGTTCCATTGCACAAACCTCTCGCTTGATTGATATTCCTAATGAGCATGACATAAACGCCTTTCTTTAATTTCAGCTCATGCGGGGAAGACCGGAGCACGATATTGTATTGAGAAACTCGGTCGAGTAAATTTTTGCATTAATCTCGGAACCTGCTTCGTCCACTCATAGACTGTCAGAGCTCAGGTAAACCTTTTCCTCTTCTTCAATTAACGACGACAAATAATCGTTCACACACATAACACTCTCATTTGTAGGCCTCAGAATGGCCCTCCCCTGAAAGAAATCAGGATTGGCAATGTTATTCAGCAAATCCGAATACACGAACTTCATGAGCTCTGAAAAAGCATCATCCGAATCTCGAATCAGCATGTCCTCAGGAATTTCAACTGAGGCTTCACCATCATTGTAATCTTCAGGTTCTCCGTTTTCAATTCTCAGAAACCATTCGACAAATTCTCTTATTTCATCTTCATTAGACGAAGATGCGTCCGAATGAAGCCTCATGTTCTTGTGCAACCTCATGACACGACATTCTCTCCACAATAGTGATGAATTGATCGTAGCATGTACGATGTCTTGCCTAGATGCCTAAAGTACAACAGACAATATCTGTCTAAAGTCAACCAAGAACGATAACCTTATCACCAAAAGGTTTTTCTGAATTCAAAATCTATCGCATGGTTCTGTCCAATGCTTCAAAACAAAACCTATGCATTATCGGGGTTTCAATCCATATAATAAGTTTTGCTTCAATCAACAGCTCTGCTTGAGAAATTTGTTGTTTGATGCTGCAGGTGGAGCTCTCATGCACAATTATTAGGAGTTCAAGTCTAGAATGTGTTGTTTTACCATCCGAAAGGAGCAATGAAGCAATGCAACTCGAGGCAACATTAATGACAATGCCCTTCTCAAAACGAACAGTGGCGGAAAGTGTGTTCCAAATAAATGTCTTCCCGGTGCCCCCATGGCCGTACAGGAAAAACATACCTTCAATGTTCTTCGACACTGCTTTCATGATCGTGTCGTCAACTTTTTTCTGGTCAAGTGTTATCGACGATAAGAACTTTTGAAGTTCGGCACGCATTTCAGAGACGTTGTAATCCAATTCATTAAGTATTAACCTATTCTGTGTCGTCTATTGTTGACTGTATCAGTACATGCATAGATGCATAATTACGTAAACTCTTACCATTGCTCTGCAGTATTTTCTCAATCTCAATGACGGCGTAATTCTTCAAGCTATCATCCGATAAGGTTAACTCTCCACAATTATAAATAATGCTATGTAATACCAAGAATGTTGATTATTCAAACATACAAATAATAATTATATCGTTACGACAATTATCGTATATGAATTATTGTTTTTCAATTAGAGATATATCTGGATTATTATGACACTTTGGGTGTTTGTAAATCATGTCATTAGATAACTCCGACCAACATTTTCCCCATACATACTGCCTGCTCAAATTATTCGCCAATAAAAGAATAGCGAATAGTAATCTTGTGTAGTATGCGCTCGCCCATCTGCTTACTTCCTTTATATCGTCGATGTAATCTTTGTCTTTCTTCAACAAACCCAATACGTAGCATGCATCCCTAAAGGTATTGTAGACCTTCATATTCACACTTCTGAGTTCTTCATAGCTTCTGCAACCAACTTGAATATTAAGCAATAACCTCATATAGTAGTGGTCTCCCTTCCCTGAGGGAAGGTTATTAAGTCTTCCGATCGAAAATCCTTTTTTTGTGGCTCCCATGACATAGAATCATCATAGTAAACGAATTGTTGTGGGAAATCCGCGTACTTGATTGATCTAGCTTCCGGAAACCACTTATTTGCCTCAAACCATGCTAATAACATACTTTATTTGGTAGACGGTCTATTGACTACATTATGCAAATGTTGATTTTCGTGATACACAACCATTTGACAATCAGGTTGGTGGAAGCTCAAATGAATCACGGGGGAATTTCTCTAATGAATATGAAACACAAACAACCTCCAACTGGCCTCGCATGCAGATAAGTACGTGCAAAAATATTTTACAAATATATAAGAAAATGAAATCACATTAGTTGAAGTAAACATGAATTATTTAAAAAAAATATATAATATATTGTGAAAGAAACGAATATATACACGAATAAATATCAAGTAAAAAAAAGATTCATTTTGACGATAAGATAATTAACATCATAAGTCGGACATATACCTACAATCGTAGCACATCTTTATCTCATCGCGTCTTTGTTCACCGTCATTCGTATTACGGGACTGATAAAACGCAGCTATAACTCGATCATTGCCCTTGTTGACATATTTGAACATATACTTTATCGATTTGTTCTGGTTATAGAGCTCAATGTTGATGTGATTTCTGTATTTCAACAGTGGAGCACGATTGTAAGGAACGACGTACCCATTGTCAAATATTGTTTTCTTCTTTGTTACTGTCCGGTCGTCTTCCCTTCTTCTATACGAATGGTATCCTTCATCATCGGCCTCAATACATTGCACAAATCTCTTCGGAAAGCGCTTGGTGCAAATCCTTCATGCAGGGAGAATTCATGTTCGCATGTCCGCATGGTCCGTGGATCATGTATTTTTTTACCAACTTATACATTTTCCTGTCGCAAGTCTTATCGGGTATTTCGGCACATATTATTCGATCAATATCGTCCGAACATTTGGGTTTATTGTCGTTATGCAACCAAAGAAGAATGTGCGCATGCGGCAAACCACGTTTTTGGAACTCAATGGTGCAGACGTCTGCAAATTGAAATGAAATAACAAATTAAAATTATTATAGTTTGATAGCAATAATTAGATATTTTTAAAAATAAAATCATTTTATATATTCATATCATATGAAGTTTTAAATTATGATTTAAGAATTTGGTACTTACATGATCTAATATGTCCGAAAACATGTCCTTGTTTGAAATTTGAGATTAGAGTGTCCATTTTCATCTCTAACACTCGACAAAGAATATCATGTCGATCTTCAGGATGCAGATTCGTATCTCTTAACACTCTTTGTATTTCTGGCCACTTCGGGTTGCATGTTATTATTATAAACAGTGATGGAAATCCAATCCAATTGCACATCTGGAGGGCGTCCATGAAATTGTTAAACATATATCTGTGATCGTTTGTAAAAGTCGATGGAAGAACTATGCGCATTCCATCAGACGTGCTTTCACCATCACCCTTGATAATCATTTCCTGAAGTCCCTTATACATGTCAACTCTAAGCTTGTCCTGATTAAATCTAATGAAATTGATTCGTTGAGATTCTATCATTAAAAAGCCATCAACTTGAAACTACTGATATAGTTTTTTCCAGTCCAACAATACTTGATTCTCTCCATTTTTTTTTTGCATCCTGTATGCAAAAAATTCTCTCATGGTTACGCATCTTCGTTTCCCGTTACTATTTCACGAAGACTCTCTTAAAGGAATATCATCTATATAGCCATATTCACCGTAAGGAAAAATCAAGGGGTACTGTAACAGTAGATAAAGAGGGTGTAGTTCACTAATGCGATGAAGCCTCTTAGACTGCGTTTCAACCAAAATGTCCCTACGCCCTCCTGGTTATCGAAGTCCCGAACAATGAGCGTTGCAATTTTACTGGCATTTGGTAGATTATATGTCCGACCATCAGTACTTCTGCTCTTAACCAGTCTTAGTTTGACACGTCTTGCTCCATCTATAGCAATACGATCGCGTGCAACTCTGCATGACCGCACAAGTACGTTTGAATCATCAATCATATCTTTTATCGAAGACACTATTGACGGATCTAAATTATTAGAATTGTTTCCAGATCTGAAATATAACAGAGTAATAATTAGTGGTCATTCGAAAAAAAGATGACGCCAAAATATAGATAAACAACATACAATTTTTACCTGACAGTAGCAATTCGATTTTGAACTTCATTCTCTGTGTTGAATATATAAAGCTGTGAACATTTCGACGTTGTACCCTCCTCCGGTAATAAACTACCCAACAAATGGTAATTTTGAACGTATAGGAGAAAACGGATTTACAGCTGTCTATATTTTTCCACCGAGAAATAAAAGAGAACATCATATTATATGATCTTATATTATCTTGGAAGCTCCTACTGCGTCTATCCCTACCGAATAAGAGACTCGACAGTATATTTGGAGGATCCTTCAATTTGGGCAACTAGATTTTACCGTTCATGCAAAAAAGTGAAAATTTTGGCGATTATGTTTCACAGTGTCTAGTAAGTCTCTCTCCGTACCACATCATCGCACCGCATGATTGACAAACGCAATTTTTTCACCAAGATCGTTGTAACCTATGAATATTTATCAATGTATAGAAAAATGACGAGAATTTGTAAACGAAATGACTGATGCATAAACATTATTTGAATTAATAAAAAAAATATTGCGTACCGTCATACTCAGCAGAATCATCGCTATTGTCTTCATTTGAAACATATTCAAAATCTACAAAAACAAGCACATTAAGACGAATATAATTTTAATTCCCATATAGACTTGCTATTAAACAATTGTTGATGGTTACTATTCGACAAATGAATACTAATATTTACCTCCACTATCTCATAGTCACATTACAACGCGTCTATTGAATAAAAAAAAATATATAATAAATAATATACGAGTTTGTGTATATCATAACGCGTAATTATTTTTGTAAAATAACATATCGAGTAATTATCCATCCTTTCAGCATCATCAATACTGAGATTCTCTTGAATTGCAAAGGGTTGGTACATACACATATTAAATAACCAATCACATTAATCACGCCTCCATGTGGATCCATTGGTTCCACACTCATTTGCAGGAATACATCGTCTATGTATAAAAACATCATCGCATAAACCACAAAAGAAAGATTTGAAATCATTTTAACCATCCCACATGCAACGCATGATCCAGTGCGTTGAACGACTTTGATCGATTCCCTGCATGCGACGCGCATACATGGATCGAAACAAGGGTCAAAATATGCGTTGCAAAGTACACATAGTTTGAACTGAGCACAAACAAATTAAATGTTATGATCGTCATAAAGTACGAACGGCTTTGTATGATAAACTGTATGAAAAACATTAACAAATTATATTAAAATTAACAACCCGAAAGAAAGAAGTACAAATAGTACTCATATGTGTATATATAAAAATAATTATGAATATAAAAATATGTATATATAATTATAATAATCTATAAGTAAGGAAAAATGTAATATGAAAACATATAATACAAACATTGTGCACTTTATAATGGAATAGTGGTATTGAAAAATGAAATCAATGTGGAGGGGTTTAAATAGTATTGAGCATGAACCATATTTTATTGAAAACAAAATAAAAACTCAAAATATTTATAGATTAATAAACAAAATCAAATCAAACAAATAAAGGAAACAACCCAAAAAATAACTTGTAAAAAAATAAAGCAATATAAAACAAAAATTTAACTGTAAAGACAGTTTTTTTTAAATTGAATTTTGAATTCAAAATTAAACTAGAAAATATCATATGCAGAAAAAAGTCAAAAACTTGCCTTAGAATAAGATACGTTTCATATATTTAAAAAAAATCTTATAGTGATTAACAAGGGATTATTAGTGAAAACCCCCTAACACATTAAGTTAAATAAGAATGACTATACCCCTATTTTGCATATTAGTGAAAACCCCCTTATTCCATATTTCAGTTTAACATAAATCCGAATTTTTAGTGGTATACCTGTATTACCCTTAATTCAAATAACAAACCCTATTTTTTTTCCTCGCCATTTTCTCTCAACCAGCCCCCCACCTCTCTCCCGTTTCTTTCCCCTGCCGACGCTCCCCATCCACGCCCGACGTTGTCTCACGATCTTCCCCATTTTTCTTAACACATCTTCCTTCCCTGCGATTCCATGGTGAAGGGCGGCAACTAGCGTTAAACAGACCGCCGCAATCACTCTCCCCTTACGCCTCCGCCTCGCACCGCCATCTCCTCCCCCTTCCACCTCCGGTTCTCCAATAACCGGAAATTATCCATATCGATGAGATATTCGCTACAGAAAGCAAGGATGGTGGTGGTTTCAGCCACAACGGCGGCAGAGAAGCTGTAGAAAATGTATCCGGGGAGGCAAAAGATTTTTCTGGAGGAGATGGGATTTATGGCTATGAAACTGCACACAAAGGACCAATCGAAGGAAGAGGAGAAGGAGCCCCATGGTCAGCCTATTGCTAAGTGCGACCCTAATGTTGATGATTGTGAGTACTGAGTATACTTGAATTTGAGTTTTTATTTCTATGTTTTTGTTTGGGAATATTGGTGTTCTTTTATTTTATTTCTTTGTTTATATATGCTAATAATGGTGGTTTGCGATGAGAAAATCAAGAAATTACGAGAATGCTCCAAGCAAACTATTTGATCGGTCTTGATGTGTTGCGATAGTCATGTCGTTTTAATTTTGTTAAAATAGTTGTTTTTGTCATTTTTGTAGTTGTTTTTCTGTTTTTTATAGTTGTTTTGTACTTTTATTAGTTGTTTATGTTATTTATTTATATAGTTGTTTTTCTCAGCATTATATTTTAACTTTTTTATTACTTTTTGTAGTTGATTTATGACTTTTGTCGGTGTTTTTAATTTGCAGCTGGTGGACTGTGGACTTTTGTCGATATTCGCTCCCATTCTTGCATTATTATTGGTGGGTGGACTTGTGGAAGAACTACATAAAATTAAAGTTGTGTGTGTGATACTTATGGTGCTTTTTTTGTAGTTTATTACAATGATTTGTAAATGATTACGATAATTTCATACTTGAATTTGATAATTTATAGTTGATTTCATTTCGGTAATATAGTTGTTTTCGTACAACAATATAGTTGTTTTTACTATCTTTTAGTTGATGTTAATAAATAGTTGATTTAACAAATAGAATAGTTGATTTTGATAAATGAGAGTTGTTGGAGATATATAGTTGTTTTAATAACAGTTGTTTAATATAGTTGTTTTTAACATTAGTTGTTTTAATAATAGTTGTTTTATTGAAATATAGTTGTTTTAGCTGAAGATAAAAAAAATACTAAATTTTAAAAAAAAAAATATAATAGAAAGTTATAAAAAATATTTGTTTTTAAATATTATTTTTTAAATAAGAAATAAATAAATAAACGAAAATTAAAATTAAAATATAAAAATAAAAAGTGCATCTAAATATGGTATACTAGGTAGTGAATAGAGGAAGGGTAAATTTGAGAATAAAAAAAAGATGGGTCTCTCACTAATAAAGGAAAAGGAGCTGGACCCATGCTTATTAAAATAATGTTAGAGGGGGTTCTCACTAATAGTCCCGATTAACAAACACATGTTATATGATGTGTAATTAGTTGATTTGAAGAATATTGAAGAATCTTTATTGTTGATTAGGTATTTTCCATAAATTAGTCATGGCAATTAAAATCAATCATCTTAAATAATAAGAATTGAAATTATATAACATAAATTTAGGAAATTGATTGACAATTTATGGTAAATAAAAATTTGAAATCCAAAAAATTTAAATTTCAGATTAAAATAATCGATTTTAATTTGAAATATGAAAAAAAAAAATTCAAAATATAATAATGTATTATTACAATCGTCGTCTTAATCTAATAATGTATTAATAAAAAAATAAACAAATTTTATAAATTAATCCACTATAATTGATTGAACTTATAATGGAAATACGCAATTTCAAATTATTATTAAGAAAAAATATTGTATATTTATTGAACAGTGCAGTGTGAAAATAAAACATTTTTGTTAATAAAAAAAATTATTGAATGGGTATTCGAATATTCCAATATTTTGAAAAAAAAAACAACTGTATTCCTTTAAAATTATTTGAATATTAAAAAAATATATTTTACTGAAAATTATTTGAATATTTGTAAAAAAATTGAGTATCCTGATTTTTTTTAAAAAAGATAGTCAATAAATATATTTTGGAATATTTAAACTATAAATAAGATAATATTTTTCGAATTTATAGAATATTAAATTTGGAAATAATATATATGCATGTGGTAAATGTTTAAATGGATGTACAAAGGTTAAATAGGAAAGAACTTAAATACATACCAAAATAAAATGCCAACTAACTAATTGGGGAATATAAACTCCAACTAAGCAATTTGGAGGTATGACATAGACATTTGCCACATGTCATTGATGTAGGATATAAATCCTCTTTTTATATTATACATAGATTAACGAAGTAAACTAATATAATTGACATATAAGTGATTTTGAGTAGATATTATCTTCAAATTTGGTGAGATTTAGGATTGTACATGATTATTCAAATTCAGTGAAATTTTAGGATTAGATAGAATTAGTGAGAGTTCTTGAGAGTTTTGGAAGTTTTGGGAGGTTTGGGAGGGTCAGAGAGACAAGAAAAAAACATATTGTGAACGGTATTCATAATTTTAGTATCGCGAAAATCATTTCAGATTATTTTATTATAGTTGGTATAATTAGGGGAGTAAATTGGAACAAAATTTCCAATTTCCGCCGATTCCGATAAAAAAATATCGATTTTGGAACATTTTTCAATCAGACTTCCGATTTTTCCAAAGTTATTTGGATTAAAATTGGAATATATATGAGATTCCGATTCCCGATCTGATTAAAGTTCCGAAAATAATTCCGATTTTTCTTTTGAATATTTCAATTAAAATACCAATATTATTATGTATTTTATATTTAAAGTGATAAAAAATTGGAAATTTCGATTTCCGATTTTTTCCCATTTTTTAGAACGGAATTAGAAATAGTTTTTTACTTCCGAATATAATTAGACTTTTTTCTTTCGAAATGGCTAATTTTGATCCATTCATTCCAATTTACACCCCCAGATATAATAGTTATCTTATCTTATATAAAAGAAACGCTAGGGTATTGTAAGAAACCTAATGACATATTTATAAAAATAAATTAAGTTATGTGTTTATATAAATTTTTTTATCTCCTATTTTGCAGCCATTTATTTCTAATTAGTAAAAATACAGTTTCTGATGCATGCACCACAATTTGATATATAGAAGCAAAAAAAATACATTGAGCTTCAAAATGTGGAGCTCGAATGGAATAAAATGGGTCCAAAATTAAGAATATTTCATATAATTTAGAAGATTCCACTAAATTTGAAACTGCAAAAGTGAACGTAGAAGAAAATTTATAGTTGAATGTGATTGTAATTACCCAAATAGGAGGGATTTTCTTAATCTGACAATACATGAAGGGTGGTTGTAATTTACCCTACTTATTAATTGCAAGGAGCAAAGTAATATTTGTTCTTTTGCCTCGGAATTTCATGAAAAACGTTTTTACCATTTTATCCAGAAAACGAAGAAAACAAAGCAACAAATTAAACCCAATCGGAATAGCAATCAACTCCTCTCTCTCTGGCTTTGCTGCCCCCTGCTCCGCTCCAGAGGGTTGGGTTGATACCTATATTTCGTCCTTCAATTCCTCCATGGTCTTTCTATAATCAACCAATTCGCAGATTTCAGATACACGGCTAAACGAGTTTCTCTACTTCCAACAATTTAAGCTAATGTCGGCTGCTATTCTCTCTAACCCTACATTTTCCTCCTCTTTCCATGGCCGTCGATTGTAAGATTTTTTGTTTTCCTTTCTTATTATCATCTTCTCCTCCAATGTTTTTATTTTTTCATTTTTATAATGATTTTGCAACCAAAAAACAATTAGGTTTCCTCTTTCCTTTTCTTTGTTTTTTTTCAATTAATAATTTTTTTTTTGGCTAATTTGGTGGTCTGGGTACAGATTAATTCGAGGCAATTCGAAAAGGAGCACGCCGTGCCGCTTCACTTTTAAGAGCCCTAGATGTGCCGTCGATACACCCTATGAAGGTGAGTCTGTGTTTGTTGAAGTTTTTTTTTTTTTTTTTTTTTTTTTTTTTTGAGGACGTTCGTTATTTTAAAGCGGTTACATACATCATCCATGAATAAAATTCAATTTTTTTATTCTCTCTTTAAAATAGTTATTTTTATAATTCAATTTGTTTTTTATGCTCTTATTTTTGGAATTTTGATTGCTGCAGTATCTGTGATGTGAAATGGTTTACAAAGATGTTTAATGGAGTTGAGTTTTGGCTTAGGTATATCATTAGGAACTTAAAATAATCTTATACACTACAATTACTATAACTGTCATATCTTGGTGATGAAGGAGCGAGTAACATATGCAATTTCATATTGTTTTCTAAACTCAAATTTTAGATATAACCGCCCCCTAATTTTCCCTTTTTTTGAGTATATGTAGGTAATATTTCAAAATTTCCCAGAACTAGTGTGTGGGATCCTTATAAGCGGCTGGGTGTAAGTACGGATGCTTCCGAAGAAGAAGTTTGGAGTGCTCGGAACTTTCTTTTGGACCAATACGCAAGCCATGAGAGAAGCGCAGAATCAATAGAGGCTGCTTTTGAGAAGCTATTGATGACCAGTTTCAAGAATAGAAAGAAAACAAAGATCAACTTGAAAACAAAGCTAAAGAAGAAGGTCGAAGAGTCTCCACCGTGGGTTAAGAATTTGCTCAGTTTCGTCGAGGCCCCCCCTGCGGTTATTGTGTTGAGAAGGTTGTTCCTCTTTGCTTTCATGGCGTGCTGGAGTGTGATGAACTCTGCTGAAGCTGGGCCCGCTTTCCAGGTCTGTTTTTCGTATCTGCTCGAACTCCACATATATTGAAGTGTATGTTTCAGTAAACACTTTCTGAACAATTTATTCGATGCTACTGTTTTTATTTATAGCTGGTTGGTTGGTACATTTTTAGTTTCGGATCTTTTGATGGGTGCCGTGAAATATTAAAACAATTGATAGAAATGAATAAAATGTTACAGATCATCATAGGTAAAGTGGGAATATATTCGTTCCAAAATGTAGTCTTTCATCACTTTCACAAATAGGTATTGCATTTCTTCTATTATCAAATCAAGATTATCTATATTTATTAATGAATTTGAAAAAAAGGTAAGGTGTTTTACACAGTTGGATTAATCCCAATTAAAAAGAGTAGTTAATACCACGCCAATTAAATTTTAGGTCTCTGAGCTTGAGGAGAGCCAAATAGCTCCTATACTATTGCTTATGGCTGTTAGGATTGTAAAGAGATATAAAAAATTCATCACTGTTGTTTCGTAACTTGTTATGGTAACTACCACTTCGTATCGTCCAAATAGGTTTACTGCTGAAGGATATTAAAATTAGTAAAGAGGAGTGAGTTATTGCTCGATTTATCTCTCATAGAAGCGTTAATGCTCTACCTCTCACTCATGAAAGCATATTATTGCTCTACTGCTCCCTGTTGCATTATAAAATTAGAAAAATGTATGCCACATGGGGAAGATATTAGGATATTAAAACATGAATTTCATGGGATGCACATACTGATTGTTTGACCAAAAATTTCATGGCAAACAAGAACTGCAACATTTGTTTGTTAGTTTTCAGATGTGGGTGGTTCTGATGAAATACTTTAAGCTGAAGAAGTTTTGTTTATTGCATTTTAAAAAAAGCAAAAATATGATACTTGTGGAAAGACGTTAGAATAGATAAACATGAATCATCATTAACTATTTCATTAAGCAAAACATGAATTATTATTAATATTTGTTTAGTAAGCTGATAATTAGTTGGCCATGATTCTGTAATTTAAAGTGCTTTAAAAAAGGGGAAGGATTGAAAAAAATGCAAGTGATAAGAAAAGGAAATGATGAAAAAGAAATACAACTTCCATATCTATGATCATTACAAGTACGGGCAAGCATATGTGCTTGGACATGGAAACACTCACGTATGGTTGCATACGATTTTTTCAATACCAAAATATGACAATATGTGCATATACAATAATTTCACGGCATTGTTCTTTCCGTACAGGTGGCATTATCTCTTGCGGCTTGCATATACTTCCTCAATGACAAGAACAAAAGCGTGCCTAGAGCAGCCGCTATTGGGTGAGTTTTTTTATTAGAAAAGTTTCACGTGCCTACTACTCTACTTTACTCTGTCTTGGAGATCGATTTCTGAAATGTGAAATTTTATGTATGCAGATTTGGAGCTCTTGTGGTTGGCTGGATTTGTGGTTCTTTCTTGGTTCCCCTCATTCCATCTTTCTTATTGCAGCCCACTTGGACTCTCGAACTTCTTACATCCCTGGTAGCTTACGTTTTCCTTTTTTTGGCATGTACTTTTCTCAAGTGAAAACACCTACACAATCTACGATGTTGTCGTTAGGTTTTTAGAAATTGCAATAGTTGGTTCAGAAATTCCATTTGCCTGAACTATGATTGATCGATTATGTACCCCGAGTATTTCACGAATATTCAAATTCACTGTTGTTATAAATGCAATCCGAGTGAGTTGGTTTTCTTTATCACTCGATCTCCTTCTAGTGACTTTTCATTTTGCTTTTTGAAATGTGCTTGGTTAAAGTAAAATTAGAATGTGAATGAAAAGGGCATTTTTATTCCCTTGGCTAGAAGATGAAACAAAAAGGTTCATAATTTCACATAGCAGAAGTTTGTGGCAGAAAGGATAGGCAACACTTGCCTCGTCTACCAAACGTCGGGTCCAGACAGAACCCATCCCGCGATACGAGCTAACCCATTGTCAACCCAACCGGTGGTCAACTTCCCTTTTTTCTTTCTAATTTCTTTGTTGGTATTTGCATTTTCATTATAAAATATAGAAAAAAGTATCAATTAAATATAAAACAACAAATTACGTCGATAACACACGATTTATATTTACTTTTTAAAAAGCAGAAATTTATTTGTGCAACTTGTTAGAAGTTTGTGTAGTTTTTCAACAACTGGGAATTTTAGTGTTCAAACACTTGTGTCGAAAATGCAATTTCCAAAATTGAAATATATAAAATCAAGTTCATTATCACAAACTTGTTCTAACTTCTCCCAATACTAATTTATAAAACACCGAAAAAAAAAAAAAGAGTAGCAACTAGTTATCTATATTTTGTCATCAGATCCAATGAGAATGATAACGTAACCCATCAAAGTTTACAACTAAATCTATTTAGTTTAATATACCTCTCCTCCCTCTATCCTTTGTTCTACGTGGTATTTCTTCAAAGACCTAGAAGCTAATAAATTAATTAATAAATATATAATGAAGAGAATGAAGAATCAAGCATAGTAATTTCTGTATTTGGTATATCCATAAGCCTGGTTATTCCTCAGAGCACAACACCCGATGGAGTATATGATGGTTAGAGATATGAGAAGGCATGTATTCGCTATGGCAAGAATATTCCATTCCCTCCTCACATTATCAAGAGCCGCCATTTTGCACGACTCGCAGTTGAAGCAAAGCTCCGTTTGCTCGTTGCTCCATATCTTGCAATCCGGTTCTGTTACCGCTGGACCTTTTTCCGGCATATTCCAGCTCGTCGAGTTCTGCATTTGCATCCCGCAATAACTTGGCGGCTTGCAACAACCCGACTGCATTCATGCATCCATGCATGCATAATAATCAGGAAACCAATAAAATTATAATATTAGGGTTTATTGCATTGAGCACCCTGTGTTTACTCTAATTGTTAGAAAGAAAACTGTTCCCGTAATTAACATATATTACCAAACAACCTCAATAATTCAATTTTTTTTACCTGCTAAAACCTCACCATAATTTGGGAACTTGCAATGCATCGTACAGGGTTGTTTGCTAATATCAATAACGTAACATAGGTAGTTTTTTAGCAATTCGATATATTACCAGGGTATACTAAATGCAATAAACTCGATATATTATGTTACATTCCAACAAAATTGTAAAGACATATGATGACGAGTTAATTAGATGCATGAAATGAAGAAGTATAGTCCTTTAATTAATTTATGTTTGTATCAAACTCTTAGAGTAGCTATTTATAAGCGAAGGAGTCTTGTTTATAACGTGTATCCTTCGTTCCCAATTCCGATTTATTGGTTTTTTCAACACTTTCAACTAGACCAAACATTTATAAGTTATCTACCTTTATTTCTTTTCTTAGTTTGCATCCTAGATAATTCGGCTATTGGGATAGTAAGGATCGAAATCAACGTATATAACATTGGATATTGATATCGTCATATCGAATTATTATTCCTATTTATGTTTTCATTATATATAATACATGCTACCTTTATAATAATATTGATCATGTATTCGTGAACTGATGAAATGAAATACGTACGAAATGCAATAGAGATTTTCGTACATATATCATGCATGCTGATGCACGTAAAGACTAAAAGGCATCGTCGTCATATATGACAAATAGAGGAAAGAGAAATACATTAGAAAAGATGAATGACCTGAATGGGAGATATTTTCGGTTTGTAAAAATCCTCAAATTCTTTGCCAACAACTTGATCAACCGTATTAGTAGCAGCGCAAAGTCTCATGTCGACCAAACAGCTCTTAATCCTATCCCACTTCTCACCATTAATCACATAATTCTGCATCCACCAAGAATAATCACCCAGCTTGTGATTATTAATCGCCATCCCAGTCTCTGACGATACCACATTCCCAATCCCTTTATTCGTCACCACTATCGCAAATACGGTGAAAATTACGAGCCCGAAAATCAGCAGAAAAAGGGTTATCAGATAAATCCACATGAAGAAGGAGACCCTACAGCAAGCCCCCAAAAGCCCCGCCATCGATACCCCCATGAGGGCCCCACCCACCACCAGAAGAGGCATTCTCAGGGACGCCTCGCATGGCGATCCTATTTTTACGTAGAACAAAAGGGCGAACCCTATGGCGCCGATGGATAATATTAGGGTTAGTAGATTAAGCAATGTGATTACCCCATTGCTTATGCGAGCCATTCAATTTAATTTTATTTATTTTTTTGGTTATTAGATTTGATCAGATCACTAGAGATAGAAGGCAATAACTACTCTAGGATCTGCATGCAGACTTTCTCTTGATTTTTTTTCTTCTGTTTATAGCTCTCTCTTTTTATTTATTTTTATTTTTTATTTTTTATTTTTTAATTTTCTTTTCTTGAATATGGTAAAGGAGAAGGAGAAGGATGAAGAGAGGAAAAAAAAATATGGGAAAGAGGGTGGAGATTGATGATTGTTTGTTCTACAAATTAAAGGTGCAAAATGGATGTTAATTGCACTAGTGAATTATAATTATTTATTTTTAGAATGTCTCTTAATCATAACTACAACCGTTCGTTCATTCCGTGGGACTTAGTAATGTTGAAATACAATACACTTTCTAGAATTATTCACATGCATGTATATATTGTTATATGTGAGGTATTTTTTGAAATGCAATATATTGGACATAGTTTTATGAATGAAAAAGAAGTCGATGCAAGAATTAAATTCTTTCACCGTAAGACATTATTGGCCCGTATTAGTGCTAACGGTTCTAGCCAATAGTCCTCAAAATACAATAACTTGTGGGTATTCGAGTTTGCAACACAACCGGGCTCGAAGTACAGGCGAACAAAATATGAGCTTTGGACTTTCTAAACCCGAAGAAATGGATTTGATAATTGCAACAATATATGAGATGCTATGATGAAAAGTGAATTCAATTTATGTATTGAATTCCATGTGAAAAATGAATTAATCAAATGGTGGAATTTAGAATTATTTATAGTTCTCAAAGGTTATGACCAAATGTCACAACTCTTAGGAATTGAAAAGGTACCACACATTTTCACATTAAACACCTATTTCTCAAATGGTCTTTAAACAACTCCATGCATGTTTTTCAAAAGGTGACTATTCACCACTTCATTTTCCATTTATTATTTTAAGTGACTTTATTAATTTCTCATTCATTAAAAAATAATTTTGAGAAACTAAATTTAATCCACTTAAATAATCAACTCAACATATATAATGTATAGGTTACATGAATAGGCAAATACATGATACATGATAGTTAGATACATTATTATTATCTAGTACTTGTATGGTTGCATTTGTAATTCAACAAGTTTTAGTAAAAGTAAAATATGAAGAAAGAGATACGTACTCCTCAATTATTAATTTCCTTATTAATCTAGTTCACATAGTTTGGTAAAATATCCAACAAGCTAGAGTGATAATTGAAATTATTGTAGCACATGGATCACAAATATTTTCAAATATGCGGTTGATGATTTATTTATGATCTTTGCTTTGTTTGAGTTGATTTATAATTTTTAGAAAATGTAATGTTGGATGCTTGGTACATAGTATTCATCATCCAGGATATGGTTCGCCACAACCGATATCAACCGGAAAGACCGTAGCGGAACGACATGAACAAATTTTTGCGACGTTGTGGAACTGAAACGGCGAACTTATGTAATATTGATGAACCCTTAGTCATTGATTATACCTTTGTGTTAAGTTGATTTCCCGACCGAGCTCTATCGTGCTCCACCTTGTGAAGTCCGAGCTCCGTCGCACCATGCACCACCGGGGTAGACACTTGATTCAAAGGACTGGTCTGGTGCCATGGGCCAATATATGAGCCAACATACTACTTTCGAGACCAAAGAACCATGAGAATCTGTCTGGCCCATACGAGCACAAAGAACCATGAGAACTATGGATCATTGGAATATGATTTTTTTGAATAATCCGTAAAATATTTTTAATGGGCTGAATTAGTTTCATGATTTACATTTCAAACCTCTAGAATATTTTTATTTATTGTCATTTTTAACTGATATAAATTTATAGATTTTCTTTTATCAAAATATGTAAATTAAAAATAAACATGCATCTTTGATAATAAAGAAATTATATGAAATTCTTATAACCCGTAAAATGAAACTACATTTGATTTAGTATGTCTTCGTAGTATTTTTATGAAAAAAAATGATAAGATCGATGATACTTTCATAAATGATATTCAACTGACAAAACGAATTGAATGATATTATAAAAAAACAAACACTTAAAATTTTGGTAGTAATATGTCAACTTTGATTTTTTATTTTTATTTTTTATTTTTTCTGTAATGAAAAACCCGCAGGCCGCAACCAATTCTATATAGGTGCATTGGGTAAACCTACACTCTCGTATAATAACTTGTAAACCATACAATAGACGTAAACCACAATAGGCTAATCATGTGTGACAAGCTCCACCTAGCGACCGTTAGCAAGGGGATTCGAACATGGGTCAATTGACACAAGCTCACTTGCTCCAACTGCTAGGTCATCCCTTGCGGAACGATTATTTAGCTAATATCTTATATTGTTTGAGTTTTATTGCATTTATCACCTATGTGTTTACTCTGATTGTTAAAAAAATCCCCGTATTTCAAATATTATTAAAAAAAACCCTCTGTAATTCAATTTTATAAGCAATATACCCCTTAAAACATACTACTGAAGAGGTTGTGTGCTAAAAAATGCACAAGAAGAGTATTGATTTCTTATATTTATAACACAAGAAGTTTAATAATTCGGTATAAAAGAGGGTTACTAAATGCAATGTAAAGTCTTCAACACGCTTTGTTAGCTGGCATGACTTGCAGCTGTTGGTTTATTATTTAAAATTATTAGATCTCATTTGCTAAGTGTGCTCCCAAGATGAGAGCTCACTTTCTAAGTAAGGGTAAATATGCAATCCCCCCGTCAAACCAAAAATATTATGAGTAAAATCCATTTGACTTTCAAGACTTTTGCCAACACCCAAAGTCCAATCTTAATTAGTGATTACCCCCTCAATAAACGTGATAAGACGGAACTACCTTTACCAGTAGTTTTGAAAATAATTGCAATATTTATTTTCCATAACCGTCTCACGTGATTGTAGGATTATATTGATTCTCTCTTTATATTTCCCTATCTCTCTTTCTCTTTCCTTCTCTCTCTCTCTCTCTTGCAATTTTTCTCTTTTTTTAATCTTTTTTCTTTCTTCTTCAGATCCATAAACCGCCGCCGTCGCGCTCCTTCCTCTAGATTTACATCGCCGTCGTGCCCCTCATTCTTCCTCTTTTTCACACCACCATCGTCTGCTCACTAGCTCAGTGAAGCACTTCTGCTTACATCGAAAACCCTAACGGAGACCAGTTTTTCCGCCGCGCCACCCAAGCAGCAACGACAATGGTAACTCATCTCTCTCCTTTTCATCTATCCATTTTCTCACATCCACGTTCTCCATCAAACCACCACTCGCCGATGGAGACCACTCAGCCGCACACGGCGGGGCGCCAGCTTCCGATTCTCCTTCCGAAGAGCGGACGAAAAAAGAGGAGAAAAATCAATTTTTTGAGAAGTAGCAGTTTTCGTGCAGAGGCCAGATCGGAAGATCTAACCGTCGGATCGGGTTGATGTTTTTAAATAGGATTCGTAACACATCAATATACCTTGTGAACATAGGAGATTGAAATCATAATTTTCTAAATATAGATCGGATCTTAAAATTCGTTGCTGTTTTTGTTACTGAATAATTCGAAGCAACTAGATTGGACACATTTTTCGTGCAATTGAACCGTTGGATGTGGCCGAAATTTGGGTAGAGTATTCCGAGAATATATTCTTATATTCTGTATGGAGGAGATTGAATTTGATGCTTCCTAGATCCAAATATAAATTGTGAAAGTATCACAATTTGGTGAGATTTTTTTTCATTTTTTACTCTTCACTCTTACAGATTTTTTATTTAAAATTTGTTCAGGTCATTTTTGTTTGATTTTGATATTCCAATTGTTGTTAGTTAGGCATTTATTTTTGTTGAAAATATGCAGTGTGAGCATTATTGTATATCCGATGAGGAAACTTTGGAATAAATGGTGGCGGTGGCTATGAAATGGACTAATGAAAATGGAGCAACTTGCAAGCCAAATGATAAGAATGAGTTTTTTAGTCATAAACATAATAGTCATTTATGGTCACATATATAGTCATATTTAAGTTTTGTAATCGTTTGTCTTTTTCGATTTCTCTCTTCTTCTTTTTTTCTTGCAAATGTGAACATATACTTTCAAATTTGAGCAGCAAAAGTAACATGACTATAATCATATTCAAATATGACTATTGTTCAATATGACTGTAGTTATATTCGAATATGTTATATCTTCTCGTTTCAAGTTGACTTGTAATAACAAGATTCAAATTATGATCTTTTGTGTGGATGTTGATTGGATTATTTTCGTAAATAATAGGCAGTTTTCGTATTTTTATATAATTTGGTAAACATGACTGTACTAGACTATATAATCAGAATTTTTAAGTTGAAAATATAAAAAACTGCAATATAAAGCGAGAATATGACTACAGTTGATATAGTTACATATAGTCATATTAGACTCTAGTCATATTCAACTATAGTCACATTCGGCGCAGTAAACCTGCCGAGAAAAAAAATCATTTTTTTGTTTAAAAAAAATTAAAAAAAATACTTTTATTAAAAAAATATTAAAAATTTAAAAATTAAAAATAAATAAAAAATGCTAAATAAAGTCAATAAATAATAAAAAATAAAAAAATCACTTTTTTTTTAAATTTGGTAGCAGATTTTTAGGGATAACTAATTCACACAAGGGTAACATTGGGAATAAAATTTCTAGGGTGTTATCACAAAGATTTAAGGGGTGGAAATATCACCATTTCTTAGCTATATGAGGGGCTTAAAGATTTAAGGGGTGGACGTATCATCCCCCTCTCTCTCTCTCCATATAAATTTTTAGTCAAATAAAAAATATGAGTACTAACTTTTCAAAAAATCTCTCTCACATAATTAGGGTACTCAACAAGCGGATAAATCGTAAATTAATGGTTAATTTTTTTTTTTTTATGTTTAAAAGATATTATTTGGTAATTTCGTGCGTTCGAGATTTCAATGGCTTTACCTAACATAAACCCGTTTTA